GTTTCGGTCTGCTATATGTCGATCTCTCCGTGACCGAGCATAATGACGTCCGCAGGATGACACGGTCCTGTCGTGTCCCAGCGTCGGGTGGTCTCACTGCTGGTGGGTGGGATGGCCCAGCCGTGGCGCCTGCCGCCCCGCCTGAAGTTGGGGCTTCAGGGGTGCTCTGTGATGTCACCGGTGTGTTGGCCGCCCCAGCCGCGTTCCCCGCCGTCGCTTGCGCGGCCGCGGTGGCGTGGCGCCGCCTCCTCGCGAGTGCCGACCGTCGGCCGCCGCGCGCTGACCGTGCGGCGCCGGCGGCAGGCGGAGTCGGGCGGCTCGGCACCCTCGGACTCGGCGCTGGTGCCGCCCTCGCTGTCGGCGGGCGCCGCCGGCTGGTGGAGCCAGGCGGTCAGTCAGCTGCCGCCGCGACCGGCGACCGCCGCTGCCGCCGCTGCCGTGGCCGCCGCCGCCACCGGCGCCGCCTCGCCCGGACCCTCTCCATCGCCGCCGGCGCCGCCCGCCGCCGCCAGGCACAGGTGGGTCCGGTTTGCCGCCTACACAAACTCCCCCGGCTTCTATCTTTGTATCGGTACTGGACACTATATTCTCTAACAGTCTCCATGCGACATGTTCGCCTCGCTGCGAAACTTCAGCTGGCAAGCTCGCTCCCTGTGTGTCCGTGGCGTTCTCTCCTTTTACCGCTTCGTTGTGTATCGTAGCCCAGTAAGCGAGCTTGCTCGGGCCTTTCTCCAAACTCACCCGCTGTGGAGGCATAGGCTCGGTCGCCGTCATGTGCGACCCACGAGTACATGATGCCCTAGAGAGCCGCATGAGACCCATGCGCAAGCGGTGTGGTGCCGCCGCACTGCACGGAGTGTGGGATCATGCTGCTCCGTACGATACACATGGCTGTGCTGAACCTGTGCGTCGGCCATTACGCGAGCTGTTTGTAAGACGCGGTGGCGCCAGACAGCTGGCGCCGCTCTGTTGGTGAGAGGCCCAGCGCCGCAGCAGCGTGCTGATGACGTGTGACGTGTGACGTGCGTGTGACGTGACCGCGGCAAACCGCGCGTGATGTGTGAGGCGTCCCTCGGCGCGGCGCCGGCAGACACCCGGCCGGACCGTCGCCAGCGGCCGCCACCCGCTCGCCGTCGCCGCCGCCGCCGCCCGTGGCGCTGCCGCTGCTCGAGATGGGCTTCTCGCTGCGGCACATACAACGGGCGATCAGCGTGCTGGGTGAGTCGGCTGATCGGCGTGCTGTGTGAGTGGGCCGATCGGCGTGCTGTGTGAGTCGGCCGATCGGCGTGCTGTGTGAGTCGGCCGGGGCGTCGGCGGTCAGCTCCCCGTGTGGAGTCGTGCCGCAAAAGTGGGCGGTGTCGAGATCAAGCCGTGCTTGTTTCTCTGTCGTGAATGGAAGGGACGCCAACTGAAGCCACGGGGACTATCAGCCGCCGTTCACCAGCGGGACGGTTTAAAGTAGCAGTGCGTGTTCGGTATACCGTTTGGTGTCAGCGAGGGGAGAGTCAGTCCTTGGTTTTGTAGGCTATTTTCGGGCATGAAAGGCCACGGTTCGGTACATAAGTTATTCTGTTACGTCGCCGTGCCGAGGCTCTCCGCCGCTCATTTTGGAAGCGGTCAGGCGTGGCGTGTCGACCGTCTGACTCTGACTCTGACGCTGACTCTGACTCCGCGCAGGCCGCACCGGCGACATGTCGGCGCACGCCGTGAACCAGCTGGCCTCGTGGATGCTCGAGCACCCGTCCATCGACGACGTAACGGCGATGACGCGCGCCGAGGCTGCGCCGCCGCTGCCGCCGCCACCGGCCGCCGCCGCGGTACGGCTCCGCCCGGCCCGGGCCGCGCTGGGAGGGGCTGCACGGGGGGCGGGGAGATTGTGCGCTGAGTGCACAGAAGGGGACGAGCGGTGTGGCGAGACTGCGCCGCTGAATGGGCGAGGGGGGGAGGGGGGTGTCCAGGGGTCTGAGGTGATTTCCACCCTTTACGCACTTGACGTGGGACGTTTTTGATGGAAATGTATGCCGCTCGCCAACCGATAATTTTTTGCCGAGTTGAAGGCTGTTGTCATCGAGCTTGTCGTAAATGGAATAATTACGACGTTTATGACCTGTTTTGTGATGGGCGCATATGTTAATCTTATAGTCGAGGCTACCACAGTAGTGGGGCTCCGAATTGTTTCTCATATGATTCATCTGGGCGTGTATGTGCGCGTGTATGTGTGGAATGAAACAATTATTTGTATGGGGTGGAAAGAACATCATTGATTACACCGTTCACTGAGGGCCGCACTCCGTGTGAAGCGCCCACCGCTGTCGTCTGGGGCGCGTCTGGCTGTACCGTGCCCTGGTAGGTCTGGCCAGCAGCAGTCGGTCGCTGGCGCGGTCCGGCCCCGCCTGTGATGGCTGAGGGTGCACACGTCAGCCGGAGACGGCCGATGACGCAGCCGGCGGTGACGCGGCGCCCCGGCCGGCAGGCTGACGGCGCGGAGGAGGCGGCCCAGGACGGCCAGCGCAGCACGTTCCGCAGCCAGCGGGCGCGGCCGTACGCCGACATTCGCTCATTCCTGGGCCCGTCGCCCGGCTCCTCGTCTACAGGTCTGGCACCGCTCTGCTGGAACTGGGGGGGGGGGGGAGGGTTAAAGGCGAATAGATGGCTATGTTGCATTGCTGGTAAATGTTCGAATCCTCGTCTGGTGACATTTACATGACGATGTGTCGGCTGCGTGTTGAGGCGTGCTCTGGCTTCCCGTTCACTGGTTCTTGGGGCGCTGTGCGTCGGTACGCGAAGCACCCGTCCATCTCTCAGCATCGGCCCAGTGCCCTTCGGCGTTTGAACGCCGGCTCGGTATGGTAGGCTTCGAGAGCTGTGGAGAATGGATGTCCTGACCGCAGCTGACGGCGGCGTGCTTTGTGATCGCTGATTGGGCAGTGACCCGGCTTGTGCCAGAACTTGGCCACAGCTGTCATGAGCCTACAGATGGTGTGCAGTTGCTCGCGCTCGCCGTCACGTGACTGGCGCGATCGCTTCAGACTGTTCGCCGTTCGAGTACCTGGCCAGGGCCCGTGGCATGTCCCACCGGAGCGACAATCAGAGCAGCGCCTCATCCCAAGGTGAGACGCGGCTGTTACGCTCCGGGCAGTGTCGGTCACCTCGTGTCCACGGTTCAACCACGTCCAAAGTCCGCCTGCTTGTTCCTAGCTCCCGCTTCTCTACCCCAAACCCACCCCCATCTCATCTCATCGCCGTCGCGGTCGCCACCGTCGCATACGCGCTCGTCACTAACGGGCGCCTGGTGGGCGGTCGCGGACTGCCACGCAGCCAGTGCCGGGCGCGCGCCGCCCTCCTGCGGCGCCGACACGCACTGGGACTGGTCGCCGAGCCCGCCCACCTCCTGGCCCTACCTGTGCGAGTGCCACAGTGGCAGCGGCGGCCTGTCGCCGACGGAGCCGACCGATCTGCTGTCGGCAGTGAGTGGGCGGCGCCGCCCGCGGCCCGTCGGCGGGCGCCAAACACGCCGCGCCGCTAGTGTAGTGTAGTGTAGTGTAGCGTACATCGCTAGTGGGCGCCGAGCACGCTCCACGCCAGCCGTGGCCGAGTGTGGACGCGCCGGTGTGGGCTAGAGCCTCGCCTCGCCGCCCCCCTGTGTACCGCCCGTGCCGCTCTCACGCCGCTCCGGTCGGCCAGCGTGCCTGTTCTGCGCGGCCGGCTCCTGCCTGTGCGGCCGGCCGGCCGGCGCCGCCTGGTCGGGCGGCCGCGGCCGGCGCGGCCCGCTCTGGACGCCGCGGCGCCGCTCGTCCGACTCGCGCTGCCTGGTCGACACCGCCGACGAGCTGGAGGTGCTGGTGGAGCGGGCCGCCGCCGAGGGGCTCGGACATCGGGTGAGTGCTGCTCCGTGGCGGTAGGGAGAGCCGACGCTGTGACGCCGCATGGCGGCCCGCACACCCGGTGAGTGTAGCGCGTGCGGCCGCTGAAGGCTCCGCGCATCGGCCGGGTGCGTCGGTTGACCTCACGTGGCTGGGGGAGGGGGGGGGGGAGGAAGGACGTCCGGGAGGAAGGGAGCCGGCGGAAGGCAGGGGGTGACGTGGCGTCATTCAGGCGCGTACACACCCGGTAGCCGGGTAGCTGCTGGTGAGCGCGGGGAAGACTCCCAACCAGCCCTTTGGGTGGCAGACTGGTGTTTGAAGGCCGACCTGGGTCAGATAGGCCTGAGTCAGATCGGCCTCGGTCGGATGGACCTGGGTTAGATGGGTCTGGGTCAGCCGGCCTGGGCTAGATGGACCTGGGCCAGATGGGCCTGGGTCCGGTGACGCATGGGCTTGGCGATTTTTCTGTTTTCTATAAAAGCAGGTTGGAGGGCAAACACGTGGCTGTACCTTATGTGTGGGAAGCTAGAACACATATCTGGTTGAGAGGGAGCTGTGCTCTGTCAGTTTCGTGGTACCAGAGGATTGTTCTGCAGGCCGGCGCAAGCGTGGTAGGTTGTAATGGGTCGGGGATGAGCCAAACATAGAGCGATATACACTATGTCAACTAGCACAACAGGCTGGCAGAGAAAGCTGCATTATAATGAGGCGTGAACGATGTAGCGGTGTCTCGGTAGTCGTATAGTACGCTGCGGTGAAGCTGACTAGATGCTAGTATTGCAGCTTGTGCGCATATCTGCTGCGGATGCAGACCTCTTTCTGCAGGCCGAGTCAGCCTCGGGTGCCCAGGGCTACTGGCAACTTAAGACGTCAACCTTTCGTCACATCTGTGAGGAGATGCGCGAACACACACTTAACGCTGCCCCCCTCACGTGCGTGAAGTTTTGCTGGCTAATTATTGGCATCTAGAAGTTGCATGGAAATCGATTCCGAGTCGTTATTTCAACGCTACGTAGTTTATGTCAGACCACGCACGCTACATGGTGCAGTCTACTTGTGCGCTCCAAGGAACAGACTGTATTAAAGAATTACGCCTTGCCCCCATGCCCCGCATGTGGGGTCAGTTTCTGTAACGTCATGTGTACCGTCAGGTCTGTCACGTCCGCCACATGCCCATAACGTCATGTCTTTACGACGTCACGTCTCCCGGCCCGTGTCTCGCTCACGCGCCGCCCGCCCGTGTCTCGCTCACGCGCCGCCGCGCGCTGTCGCTCGGCAGACGCAGTCGGACTCTGACGAGGCGGCGCTAGAGCTGTGCGAGGTGTGCAGCGCGCTCGTGTTCGACCTGGCGCGTCACCAGCGCTCCACCCACCCGGGCTGCTCGCGGCCCTGGCGGAGCTCTCGCTGCGGCGCCCTGCTCGGTACGGCTCGGGCGGCGCTGGCTCGCGCCGGCGGCAGGCGGCCGCCGGCGCCGGGCGACGGTGCCGGTGTGGTCTGGGGTTTGCAGTGGAGCGAGAATCCGCATGTGAGCAGACAGAGAACACGTGTCGCGTAAAATGGTGCAAACAGCGGTGTGCTTGCCAAAGGCTGCGGATGATTCGTAGTTTTGTGTTGGGCGCTGGTTCTCCCCTCGCGATATTTTCACCTTGTGGTCTTGCGTTGAATTGAGAAACTGTCGTGTGAAAAAACGCAAATTCACATTTATTAGTTCGACATACGAAAGAGAAGCCCTTCCCGATCGCCGTCTCCGCCCCGGTCGCCTTGCTCCTACGCCTTCCTCAGCTGCCCGGCGCGTTCGGAGCGCTTGTCTCGCTTGCTGTCCCCTCGCCTCCGTCCTGAGCGTGCCGTGCCGCGTCCGCAGCCAACTCCTGTCAGCCGGGCGGCGCGGCCGGTCCCAGCTACGTGTTGTGCGACGGCTGCGCAGAGCGGTACGCGCCGCCCACGGCCGTCGGCCGGCGGAACTCGAGCCGCAGCGTCAGCAGCGCCGCCAAACCGACCGCCGAGACGGCCGCCAGCGACCTGCTCACCAGCTGCGCCGCCGAGTCGGACGGTAGGTCACTGGGGCGGGGGCGGGAGGTGGTAGGGCACCGGGGCGGGGCAGGGGCGGTAGGTCACCGGGGTGGAGGCGGGTATGGCAGGTCACTGGGGGAGGGGCGGGGACGGGAAGTCACCAGGGCAGGGGCGTAAGATTGTAGGTCACTGGGGGGAGGGGCGGGGGACGATAAGTCAACGGGGCAGGGGCTGGAGGTGGTAGGTCACTGGGGGGGGGGGGGGGGCAGTAGGTCACCAGGGGAGGGCGGAGACGGTAGGTCACGGGCAGGAGCGGGGGACGGTAGGTCACTGGAGGAGGGGCGGGGTGGGGACATAGGCCATGTGAGCAAGAGCGGAAGATCGGTAGAGCATCGGGTTATGTGCGGAATTTGGCCAGGTGGACTGGCGCGATCTATCAACGGGGCTCTTTTTATTTTATTCAGGTGGAGCGGTTGGGTTTAAAGCTTACTCTGGCTATTTGGGCTGCGCGGGGTAGTAGAGAATTGAAACAAATTGATCACAGAGTGCTGAACAACAACAAGATCACAGAGTGCCGTGGCTTCCTTCCACCGCAAGCGAAGATGGCAGATGGGATCGTAGGTTCGTGACACATGTGGAACTCGTGGCTGCGACTGTGCCGCTGTCCTGTGACGTCCGTGTGACCTGACCGTGACGCGGTCCGCGCCGCGCCGCAGAGTCGCCGTCGCCGCAGCCGGCGGCGGCGGCGGCCGGCTCCTCGGCCGACCTGCTGGCGCAGCTGACGCCGTTCCTGGCGTCGGAGCGGCAGCGGCCAGAGCCGGTGGGCTTCGCCGAGCCGGACGCGCTGGGCGCCGGCTGCGTACAACCGGTGACGGGCGAGCCGGCCGCCGAGCCGGCCGAGCCGCCGGCCGGCCGGCACCGCGCGCTCGGCGAGCAGGCCGCTCTGCTGACGGCCGCCGGCGACCGGGCGGCGGCGCTGCGCCAGGTGGCGCGCGCCGGCCGCGTCCTGCTTTGCCGCGCCGCTGTCATGCGGGTGGTGCAGTACGTGGCCTCCAGGTGAGTGGGTCGGGAAGGGCAGGGTATGCGTGTGTGGTGGTGGTGGCGGTCGCCTCCGCCGGTGCGGTTCAGTTTGGAGACGCTCTGGTGCGGTTCGTTTTTCTCTCGCGTCTCCTGGTCACCTTGATACGACTTGTCGCGTTGTTCTCAAACCTGACATGCTACCGGAGGCCGTGCGAACGCTGCCCGCTGCCTCCGACCTCGCCCCGCGTCTGCGGCGCCGCGCTCCGTCGGCTCCGCGCAGGTGCTGACTGTGCCTGGTTCCAGCGGCAGCGGCCGTCATCTGGCCGAGACGCTGTCGGCCGTCGGGCTCGGCGACGTGCAGCTGCTGGTGCGACTGATGTGCCTGGCCGCCGCCGGCCGCGTCCAGGCGGCGACCGAGGGTGCGCCGCCGCCGGCCAGCGCCGGCGTCCGCGCCCTCAGCCGAGCCGTGGGCGCGCTGGCCGCCGCCGGCGAGGGTGCCGCAGAGGTGCTGGTGCGGCTGTGCACGCAGGACCTGCTGGCGGCGGCCGTGGCCCCGCCCAGCGCCGGCGCCGCCGCCACCAGCCTGACTGTGACGCAGACGCTGGTGGAGCTGCTCACCGGCGGCACTGTCCTCCACTGCCAGGGTGGGTGCTGGCTCCACTGCCAGGGCGGGTGCTGGCTCCACTGCCAGGGTGTATGGGTGACAAAGCCGGCTGGGGTGGCCCAGCGCGGCGTGCAGGTAGCTGATTATACCCGCGCCAACGGCTTGAGAGACGTCAGTCATCGGCCCTTCATCCGATGTGAATGGCCAGAACCGCCCACAAGCGTTAAACACACATCCCTGAGAAGCGTGTGGTCTGCCCAGCGCTGGCCGTATTGGGCTGGGGGGGCCGTTTCCGATCGTGACGTCACCGTGACGTCACCGCCGCCGCCGGCCCGGTCGGTGCGGAGCTGATCGCGTCGCTCCAGTGCCGTGCGTCCGCAGCGTCGCGTCTGACTCTGTGTTCGCCCCGTCAGGCGGTGGTCAGAAGTCCCCGCCGCCGTCGCCGGCCGCCGCCGGCCCGGCCGCCGAGCCTCTCAGTCAGCTGGCCGACGCCCTCAGCGCCTGCGTGCTGTCGGTGCGCGCGGCGGCGCCGCTCCGCACCTGGGCCACGCAGCAGCTGGTGAGCGTGGCGGCGCGCCACTCCGGCAGCGTCGGCCGGCGCAGGCGGGTCTGGCGCACTCACGAGCCGTGTCTGCTGCTCCCGGTACCTGATCCCTCGGTGTTATTAGCATTGCAGGCCCCTGCAGCTACACCTGGTGTCGCAGTGCCTATGTCCTCCGTGCTCCGTCTCTTTGCACCTGGCGCGCCAAGCAGTGCAGACCCGCACGCTGTACCTGGTGTACTAAGCAGTTCCTAATCAGTGCCTATCCGTCCGTGCCGGTGATCTCCGCCTATGCGGTTGGCTCGGACGTCTGGCCAGTGTTCGGCGCCGGCCGCTGACCGCCCGCCTGGCCGCCAGGTGCGCTGTCTGGCCGTGTGCCAGTCGCCGCTGCCGTCGCCGGAGCGGGAGGCGCTCTGCGACCTGGGCGGCTGCATGCCTCGGCTGCGCTCGCACCAGTCGCAGGCGCACGACGGCCGCGTGACCCAGCTGTGCTGGAGCCCGCGCCGGAGCCGGCTAGCCACCTGGTCAGTGGACGCCCCTCGCGCCCGGTGTGATGACGTAACGGGCCGGTTCTGTCCGATGTAGGCTTGGTATACGGACCACGCCAGGTGTACGTAGTGTGTTGTAAGTTCAACGAAGGCTGCTCGGGTGTCTGTGTTGTTCGCTCCAGATAGTCAAAACGCTGTCGCGTGATGGAAGCCGCGTGCGGTTGTGGCTCCTGCTCGTGTTGTGCGATGGATCCGGCTCCGCTGTGGCATCGACGTCCGCTCGCACGGCCCGACGTCGATCTGTGAAAGACAGTGAAGCGTCACCAGGCATGCGAGAATACCAGATCACACGCGTCACTCCGCCCTGTCACACCGCATTAGCGCTGGCGCTGGCGCCTGCGCCGTGTGCCCCTCGCCGCCTGCCGGTCGGACGACCGGCTGCCCGTGTGACGCGTCGCCCCCGGCCTGGCCGTAGCGGCTGTGACGGCACGGTGCGGCTGTGGTCACTGGGTGCCGCCGGCGCGCCGGTGCTGGAGCAGACGCTGGTGTTCCACCTCTCGCCGAGCGTGTACGGCGCCGAGCTGCAGAACCCGGTGCTGGGCCACCTGTGCTGGGGCGACGCCGGCGCGCTGGTGGCCGTGTGCATGGAGAGCACGCTCAACGTGTGGACAGTGCCCGGTGAGTGGACGCCGGCTTCGGTGACGTTCTCTGTTCTGGTGAGGCGCTGGAGGTTGTCGTCGAGTTGGGTCTGGCCTGTGTGGTCTGAGGATATGGTCGGTGTCCGCTGCCACGCCGAGGTCGGTGCTGCGTCATACCCGCGGCTGTTCGCGCGGAGCTCGGTCTGTTGGCTCGCGGTGCTGTTGCTGGCTCTTCGACAGCATCTGTGCTGTGCCTGCTTCGCCGAGTAGGCGAAGTAGTCGAGCTGGTCACGCATGTCCTGCGTGAGGTCCGCAGAATCTGCGCCGTGTCTGGTCTGTTGCTGCTGGCCATTACCGCCGCGCCTTGCCCGGGCGTTGACACCGGCCTGTTCCGTGACGCCGGCCCCGTCCCGTCGCCAGATGCACAGCTGTTCATCTCGGAGGAGGCCGGCTGGATCACGGCGCTGGCTTGGCCGGAGCCGGCCACCGACATGCCCAACTTCCAGGGCCGGCCGGCGCTGCTGCTGGGCCGCGCCGACGGCCGGCTGGCGCTGGTGACGGTCCGCCGGGCGCCGGCCGACGCGACCGCCGACGTCGAGTTCGATCGCACCGAGCTCCAGCACTGCGGCAGGAGACAGGGTGAGCGCGCGCCGCGGCCGCCCCGCCGGGAAGGCCGGCTCACGCGGGAGAGGGCGGCCCGGAGCTAAAGTGGGAGTTGTGGCAAAACCACTGCGAGAGCCCGTGTGCTCGCGTCGATTGCCGCTGTTGGGCCGACAGACCGACAGACCGACAGCCTTGCGTTGCAAGAGTGTGAATTTTAATGTCGTAATGAGGCTGGCATGCAGCGGGTAACGGATCTGGGAGATAATGGGTGACGGACCATGCGGCTAAGCGGGAGATGACCGTACGGCGCTGTTGCTTTGAGGCGTCGTGTAACATGAGCTGGTCGCCTTGCCATTTATGCTCCTGTTGGTGTGCTTCTGTGCCTCGCTGACCCGACGCTGCGCGACCGTGGCGAGTGTGGCATATGACACGTGTCCCCACCGCGTGCGTGGCGCCGGCCGCCGGCTGACGGTCTCGCCGCCGCCGCCGCCGCAGTGTCGGTGACGCACATCAGCTGGATGTACCGCGAGCGGCGCTTCGCGGTCGGCTTCGCGGACGGCTCGGTGCAGCTGGCCTCGGTCAGCCCGAGCGGGGACACCGTCACGATCCGTGGCGTGGCCATGGTCAGTGGACGGCGGAAGCCGTCTCTCGCCGCGGTCACAGAGGTGGCAGCAGCCAGTCAATGGTCTAGCAGTGCTCTGTCAATCATGTAGCAGACTGGAGTCGCGAGTTTGTTAGCCCGGTAGTGAAGAGTTTGTGTGGACAGGAGTCCGTCAGCACGCTAGAAGTCAGTCAGCCGGTCAGATAGCAGGGCCAGTTCGTTGGTACGCAGCCATTAGAAGACGGACGTCAGCTGGTCATACGCAGCTGAACAAGTACCGCGCCGTTGCCCGGGTGTGGCGCAGCTCAGTGACACCCGATGACGCGTCGCTGCCTGACCTCGCGGTCCCGCCTGCTACAGGGCCTGCTGTCCAGCCTGGCGCTGTCTGATTCGGCCCTACTGCTCGCCGCCGCTGCTGACCAGGCGTACGTCAACATGTACGTGCTGGCGGGCGGCCGCAAGTGGGAGATGATGGAGCCGCTGCCGCTGGAGGCGCCGCCGCTTACACTCTGCTGGCAGAAGCCCGGTACGAAGCGCGGTTGCGGTTCAGGCGCGCCGTGGTGGAGGCGGACGAAAGTGACCACCCAGCGCTGTTATGTCGCCCTGAGTTTGTGACCCATTGCGCAGCTACCCTTGTTCTTGCGACTGCCGGTGTCAGTGAGACGTCGTTATGTGGCTGGGTAGTGTGCCGACCGTCGGCTACACTGGCTACATCCTGGCGCCACCATCGGTGGCGCGCTGCACGTGTTGTACGCGGGCGACGAACTGGCCGTGATGCGCCTGCTTGCGAAGCTAGCCGCCTGACCGGGTGAAACGTGGCTCACGTCCCCCGCCGTGCGACTCCTCTGAACCGAGCCCGGGTGGGGAGCGACAGCAGTCTGACCTCGGCCTCCAGTGTGCCCGAGCGCCGCGCGACGTGCCGGTGCGGTGGGGCCGCACGGGTCGGGTGGAGCCAGTCTTCCGGCCGTGCCTCTCCGCGGGCGGGCGTCACGCTGTGGACGCGCGCTGATCGTCGGCCGCCGCCGCCGGTCTGTCTCATACGCGGCGCCGGTCGGCAGGCTCGCCGGCCATGCGCGGCGTGGAGGTGCTGCTGGCGGGCGGCGTGGACGGCGTCAGCTCGCTCTGGGCGATGTCGCCCACCACCGGCGGCGGCCACTGGACGGTGCGGCACGTGCTCACGCTACACGGCCATCCAAGCTACCCGGTGACGGCGCTGGCGCTGCACCCGACCGGCCTGTACATGGCCACAGGTGAGCCGCCGGGGCGAGCAGCCCGCCGCTGGACAGCTAGGAGTCGCCAGGGAGGCGTGAGGGCCCCGGCAGCGGGGGCGGGAGCACGCCTCGGGTGAGGGCGCGTCGGCTGGCTGCAGTCGGAGGAGACTGATGCGTGGGCCGCTGCGGGGCCTGCTCCGCACCACGGGCCGTGTCTGGATGCGGGACACGCAGTGTGTTGCACGCTGGCCGCCATGCTGGCTTCCGCGCTGTTCTGACCTCAACTGACGGTCGGTCGAATCGGCGTGCGGACGGGGCTCCGCCGGCGGGGCCTCCGCGTGCGGCGTGCCGTCCCGTGGTGCCGGCGTGCAGCGAGGCCCCCCGACCGTCACCTGACGCCTGGCGCCGCCGCCTCCGCCGCCGCAGGCTGCTTCAAGGGCATGATCGGCCTGGTGAACGTGTGGTCGCTGGTGGACGGTGCGCTGCTGCAGACGCGCGTCGGCGCCGGTGGCGTCCACTCCCTCACCTGGACCGACGGCTACAACCTGGCCGCCACCTTTGCGCGCTCCAAGGTCAGCTGATTGGGTGGGAGGGGGGAGGGGCGTCAGGCGCCGCGGGGCGCCGCGCGACGCCTGGACGGCTGGCGCGCCGCCGCCGGGCCCGTTGCCGGCCGCCTCGGTACCGCTCCCGCGGACAGGGTAGCTGTTTGGCAGTGAGAGACGCGGACCACGGACGGGGTGTAGACTGTTGCGGCGCGCAATCCGCCTCTCTTCCGCCGTCGCACGAGCGGGAGCAGTAGTCACGAAATCACTTATCGCGCGGCTTTCGCCGACCCGTCCCCAACGGACCCCGCTGAGACATACGCAGGACGTGTTCGTATGCTCGCTGCCTCTTCGATACCTGATCACAGCCCCTTGTCTCTGTAGGGCTTGACCACACTCACCGACGTCATTAGGGATTTTTGACGCACTGAACTGCTCATCCCCGCTGCGTGTCGGCCGGTGCCCTGACGGCGGGCCGCGCCCCGTCTCTGCACAGGACCTGATCACGCTGAGCGCCGAGGAGGCCGAGCTGCGACGGCTGCAGCCGCTGGCCACCGCCAGGGCGGCGCTGCTGTCGCGCGGCGTGGTCGGCCTGCACCAGATGCCGTGCCTGCGGCTGCTGCTAGTGCTGCTGCCGCAGCTGGTGGCGCAGCAGTACACCTTCGAGAAGCCCACTGGTGGGTGCGGCGGAGCCGACGCCGGCCTCCTGACGGCGCCAAGGGGCGGCGCTGGGGCGCGCGGAGTCGGGTGGGGCCGCTGAACACGGCTCGTCGCCTTCTCGGAGCGTCGGATAGGCTGTGCACCAGGCTGGACGTGTGTGCGCGTTCTGCCCTTTGTTTCACTACCGTTGGTTTAGTTTGACGGATACCAGGTAGTGGGTGGCTCACGTAGTATGCCAATCCCTGCATGTGTCCTTAATCGCGTTTTCCGTGAAGGCTCTTAGCTTGGAGAAGGAGCTTCTCTAGTATGAAATCTCCATATTTCACGTTGCTGCAGAGTGTTAACTGAATGATAACGCGTTTGGCCGAGTCCACCATTTTCTGGCATTTAGCGTTATCTCTAGGGGTACGGGGAAGATGAGATGAATGTTTCTGTGACCGCTGACAAGTGTTCACGTGTTGCACTGGCGCTTCCGTGATCAGTTCATGGACAGCGGTGCACGTGAGTTTTGGTTGATGGTGGCACCCTTTTCGCTCGTGGCCAGCAGAGGTGTAGATACGTCAGTGATGATCGGAGTTTTGTAGCCGCTGACCGCGATGGGCGGTGTCCGCGTTTCGGTGCGTGTCTGCGGCCGCGTGTGTGCGTCGGCCAGCGCCGGAGGCGTCCGCAGCCGTGACAGCGTGCTGTGCCGCCTGCTCCAGTGATGACCGGCGACCAGCTGGTGCACAGCGGCTACCTGCAGGCGCTGGCCTCGCTGGCGCTGGGACTGCGGCTGGACCGCGTGCTCTGCTACCAGCCGGTGCCGGCCTACGGCTCCCAGCAGCAGAGAGGTCAGTGTGGCGGCGGCGCGACTCTGAGGGGTGCCCTCCAGCTGGCTGGACGGGCTCCATCTGGGCAGGGCTCGAGCGTCTCCGAGGGATGCCCTCCAGCTGTCTGGACGGGGTCCGGCTGGGCAGGGCTCGAGCGTCTCCGAGGGGTGCCCTCCAGCTGTCTGGACGGGGTCCGGCTGGGCAGGGCTCGAGCGTCTCCGAGACGCCCGTATGTGACGGTTACTCGAAACATCACAACGCCGTATGGCTTCCCCTTCCAATCGGTGTCACGGGCCCTTCACGGTTTGGTACAAGACCCTTGGACCCCGTCTGAAGCGGACGCTGTGCCGTCTGGTCAGAAGTTCGGTGCCCGGTCGGCCTGTCCGCGCAGTCGCTCCGGCCGGAGGTCGCAGGCTGTGTGACAGTCGCCGTCGGAGCCACCGCCCTGTGCTGACGGCCGGTGCCCTCGGCGCCCGACAGTGCCGGAGTGGACGTGGCTGCTCAACTACTGCCGGGCGGCGCACGTGGCGCAGGCCCTGCTGACCCGGCAGCCGCTGCCGGCGTCCTTCCTGCCCGCCGAGGGTGAGTTAGCCGCCACCGGCCGCCGACGGCAGCCGCTGCCGGCGTCCTTCTTGCCCGCCGAGGGCGAGTTAGCCGCCGCCGGCCGCCGACGGCAGCCGCTGCCGGCGTCCTTCTTGCCCGCCGAGGGTGAGTTAGCCGCCGCCGGCCGCCGACGGCAGCTGCTGCTGAGGCGGCAGCCGCTGCCGGCGTCCTTCCTGCCCGCCGAGGGTGAGTTAGCCGCCGCCGGCCGCCGACGGCAGCTGCTGCTGAGGCGGCAGCCGCTGCCGACGTCCTTCCTCGCCCGCCAAGGGTGAGTTAGCCGCCGCCGGCCGACGGCAGCTGCCTGCTGAGGCGGCATGCCGCTCTGCCGACGTCTTCCTGCCCGCCGAGGGTGAGTTAGCCGCTCCGGCCGCCGACCGGCAAGCTTGCTGCTGAGGTGGCAGCGCGTGAGCCCGTCGCGTGGGCCTACTGATCCGGCAGGGCGAGGTTTTCCCCATTAAACACGGGTTACAGTCGGAGGCTGTCTCTTCTCGTCAGAAATTCATGGGCACGAGATGCTCACGGCATAGCACATTCCCTCGGAGATGTGTCGGTCGACGGCATGTCCACCGGTTTACGGCCGTGGCGACGCCAGCACCTGCCTCGCCATGGTCCTGTCCGCACGGTATGTCCATCGGTTTGCGGTCGTGGCCAGCCCCTGCTCTCGTCACGGTCCTGTCCGCACGGCATGTCCGTCGGTTTGCGGTCGCGGCCAGCCCCCGCTCTCGTCATGGTCTTGTCCGCACGGCGAGACCAGCGGTGGCCTGGGCCGTGAAAATTCCACGGTGGGAGTTCAAACCCCGGTTGTACCACGATCCATGAGGTCTGGTATGGCAGCTGCAGGCGCTGGCGCTTCATAAAGGGGCGCGCTACGACGAGCGTCGCGTTCCTCAACTGAGAGCGGGTTGTGATGTGACCGGGCGGCCGATTGCCTGGTTCAGAGTCTGACGACGATGAGTCGGAGGAGGAGGACGAGGACGAGGACGACTCGTCGGATCCGCCGGCGGCCGACAACAGCCGCTGGAGTGTGGCGCAGGACGGCGAGCTGATGACCTGGGCCACGCTGCACCCGCACGACTGGCAGCTGGGCGGCGGCTGTAGCGCCTACCTCTGGGGCTCCGGCCGACACGGACAGGTGAGCCTCCCGCTCTGACCCGGCCGCAGGCGAGGCTTGAGTCGCCCCGGGGTCCCCCTCCCTCCGTGGGCCTCCGGCCTCTGCGGGCAGACAGGCGTCCGGTCTGTTTATAGGTTAGATTGGGCGTGGGCTCTTCCTGAGGAACTCTCACCAGCACGCGCAGACGAGGCACTGGTCTGTCGCGTGGAACCGGTGGGACACGGGCTGTGTCTTTGGTAGGACTCCGAAGTTCAGACGACGTGGCAGTGCGGGCTGGAGACGTGCATGGAGCTCGGAACGTCAATTAGGCCCAACACCACCAGCACCACTACCAACACTACTACCTGCACCAAGTCGTGTGTTTATAGGCAGTGCATCCCCGTCATTGTTCAGGCCTCAGTAACGTCGCCTGGCCCCTTCTGCAAGATGTCGCTCTCTTGTGTGGCGGGTGCCGCCAGCATGCGTGAACCGGCCGGCCGGCGCCGTCCAGCCCGCCGCCGTCAGCGCCGCCGCCTCCGTTTCAGCTGGGCGAGAGCCGGTCGAGCTTCTCGCCGACGCGCGCCGACTCGTTTGGCCTGGCGCAGACGGTGGTGTGCGGCCAGAACTGCACGTTCGTGATCCAGGCCAACGGCACGGTGCTGGCGTGCGGCGAGGGCAGCTACGGCCGCTTGGGCCAGGGCAACAGTGACGACCTGCACGTGCTCACCGTGGTTAGCGGGCTGCAGGGTGAGACGGCGCGACGGGACGGGCGGGGCGGCGGCACGTGTGTGACAAACGGTAGCAGGGTTAGGTGAGGGCAGGGTTTGGTAAGGCGGGGTGTTGAAACTCGGCATCTGTGATAGGCTGTTTTGTTTGGGTGAGGCATTGTTTAAATTAGGTGAAGCCATGAGCTTAGTAATGGTAAATGTAATATGTTACCACAAGACTGAGGTACATCACGTATAATCAGCCCATAGCATGTTTAGACATGTCCGGGTAACATTTTGTTTTTGTTTTTGTGGAGCATGACTCAGCTGAGTTATTGAACACGAATCGTACTCTTCATATTTGGCGACGCAAAAAGTCATCCTCGTGGACCTAGGAGTCACTCCACCGTCGGTTCCTGGTGACCATCACCTCAAGGTAGGCTGCGCCAGCGGCAGCGCCGTCCGCCTGGCCCAGTGTCCGTCACAGCTGGGCGGCCGTGCCGGGCAGGGTTCGTGATCGTGCAGCTGTCGACGTCGGTCGGCTCCGACGGCCACTCGCTGGCGCTGGCCGAGTCTGGAGAGGTATTCTCCTGGGGCGACGGCGACTACGGCAAGCTGGGACACGGCAACTCGGACCGGCAGCGGCGGCCCCGCCAGATCGAGGCCCTGCAGGGCGAGGAGGTGGTCCAGGTGGGTGACGCGCACGGCGGCGGCGGACGAGGCCGCCACAAGGAAGGTGGCAGAGCTGCAGGCGCCACCCTGTCGGGCTTAGCATGATGAGCTGAGCTTGGCTCCCGCGCGCGGCGTTGATGCTCGCGAGGTTTCATTCCTCGGTTGTCTACCCGTCCGGCCAGAGTGGCAGGCGGGCATTGCCATGTAGCCTTGAGCTGCTGTCGAATGCGCCGTGAAGCCTCACCGACGACCTGGATGACCGTCGTAACGTGGCCACGGACACGGGTGGCCCTGACGCTGATCACCCCGAGACATCGAGTGAGACGCCTGGTACGAGGTGTAGGGGAGGGGAGGCCCGTCACCTCACACTCGCTGTCAGTGACTGATTCAGAGAAGTGCTTGGGTCAGTCGCATCAAGGTTCAGTGGCGCTGTGTATTTGGCTCACCTGTTATATATACCCATATTGTACGCCACTGAGCGCCGCGGCCGAGTGAGGGGCGCCCGCGGCCGGCGTGCGCGCCGCTAACGCCAGCGCCGGCCGCCAGGTGGCGTGCGGCTTCAAGCACTCGGCCGTGGTGACCGTGGACGGTCAGCTGTTCACGTTCGGCAACGGCGACTACGGCCGGCTCGGCCTGGGCAGCACCGACAACAAGAAGCTGCCCGAGCGCGTCACCGCCCTGGAGGGCAAGCGGGTCGGCCAGGTGCGCTGCCGGCTGGTGGGGGAAGGGGGGAGGGGGGGGGGGGCGTTCCGAGGCGCCTGGGGCGATGTCAGGTAGTTGCTTGGAGGGCACTGAGCCGGGTGGATCTCTGGTGTGTGAGTGTTGGGGAGGGGGGGGGGCTGAGGTGAGATGGGTCCATGGTGGGCTTTGGTCCAGCTGACCCGCGGGAGACGAAATCACATGTTGGGTAGTGGGTAGGACTCAGAAGACGGAGTCCGCGATTCAGGTGAAAAGCGATGTGAAAGTGAGCTGGTTAGGCCCCTGGAAGTGAGCATCGGAATCAGGTGGGTGGCGTCCATCTTCTCCAGCCCGGTCTCCGCATTGTATACGGGTCAGAGGGGCCCTTTGAGAGATCAACATCAGACGCTTGGGCCTCGAGTGGGTGTTAGCGGCCTCGAAAGCCACTACTTCTGACTGGCGACTGCACGCGACCTACGTCTTCTTTTGATGAGTTTGTGTTCAGCGTTTAACTTGTGCTCAGTTCATTCTCTGTTTGTGTTCGATTTCTGCGCAGGATGACCAGCTTTTCCTCAGATAAGCTTCTTTGCAGCGCGTACACCACTCAGCAGTGTCTCCCGTTCGGGAGATCTGCTATGTGGACTCCCGGCGCCACGTGTGCTGCTCCTCCCCTGCGCATTTGAGGCCCACCCCTGCCGCCGTCCCCGCCCCGCTCGTGACCGGTGGGACGGGACCCTGCCGCCGGTCCCCGCCCCGCTCGTGACCGGTGGGACGGGACCCTGCCGCCGGTCCCCGCCCCGCTCGTGACCGGTGGGACGGGACCCTGCCGCCGGTCCCCGCCCCGCTCGTGACCGGTGGGACGGGACCCTGCCGCCGGTCCCCGCCCCGCTCGTGACCGGTGGGACGGGACCCTGCCGCCGGTCCCCGCCCCGCTCGTGACCGGTGGGACGGGACCCTGCCGCCGGTCCCCGCCCCGCTCGTGACCGGTGGGACGGGACCCTGCCGCCGGTCCCCGCCCCGCTCGTGGCCGGTGGGACGGCACCCCGCCGCACCTCGGGGCCTGCCTGACGGCTCGGCTCGGCCGCCAGGTGGCCTGCGGCCTGAACCACACGCTCGCTGTGTCGGCCGACGGCGCCAGCGTCTGGTCGTTCGGCGACGGCGACCACGGCAAGCTGGGCCTGGGCAGCACCGCCTCCAAGCCCACCCCGCAGGTGCGGCACTGACGGCTGGCGCAGCTGCAGACAGCGTGCGCTTAGGCCGTCTCGGTTTCGTCTGTCGAGGGCCATGTGTAGGGATCGCGTTGCGTGCATCGCCTCAACACATTTCAGTGATGCGCTATGCACCCGGGACTGATACAGGATAGAGTACCCGACATTGCCATGTGTGGTATGATCCGTGGCTGTTGGGCAGCTGCCGACGGTGCTGCTTGCCTGACACCAGCGCCTGTCCGTCTGTCGTCTCTGTGGAGCCTCTACTGTAGCACCAGTGTTGTCCCCGCCAGCGGAGGCCCAGTTCGGCTCTATCGCCAGTGTTAGCTTGTGCCCCCATGGTCGAGATCCCACCTCTGACGTCAGTGTGTGTCGCATCCGTTCGCTGGTGGTTCGGATCCCACCTCTGACACCAGTGTTTGTGGCATCGGTCAGCTGGTGGATGCGCTGTCTGGGCTGGGCGTCAAGAAGGTGCTGTGCGGCAGCCAGTTCTCCGTGTTCCTGACCCAGGCCGGTCAGCTGTACAGCTGCGGCATTGATCGGCTCATCGGCCAGCCCGACTGCAGGCTGCGCGGCCACACGCGGCCGCAGCAGGTAACGACATCTCGCGGGCAGGCGGCCAACCATGACGGCCGGCCGCAGCACGTAACGACATCTCGCGAGCGGGCGGCCAGCTATGACGGCCGGCTGCAGCCCATAACGCCGTGTCAAGCAGACGCGAGCTGAGCCTGACACCGGGCCTTAGTGGAGCACTGTTACCCGGTCTGCCTCACACCTGGCTCCGGCAGTTACCGCCATCTCTCGGAGAAACTGAAAGTGGGCAGGCTTAGGTAACGTCTTAACCCGCAAGGTCTGAGGACCACTTCTTGCACAGTCTGAGGACTATTCTTCGCTGAGTCTGAGGACCGTTCCTGGCAGTCTGAAGACTGTTCCTCACAGCGTTTGGGGACCATTCTTCGCAGCGTCTGAGGACCATTCCTCGCAGCGTTTAAGGATCATTCCTCACATAGTCTGAGGACTATTCCTCGCAGCGTTTGGGGACCATTCCTCGCAGAGTCTGAGGACCACTCCTCGCAGAGTCTGAGGACCATTCCTCGCAGTCCGATGACGCGGTATGTGTGGCGGGCACGGTCGGTACCCAGCGTGTGTCCGACCGGCAGGTGGTCGCTCTGCGGGACCGCGTACTGGTGGACGTGGCAGTGGGCGCCGAACACACCCTGGTGCTGACGGCCGAGGGTGACGTGTTCGCATGGGGCACCAACAACGACGGTCAGCTGGGGCTGGGTCACACGGCCGGCGTGCGCGAGCCGCAGCTGGTGACCGCGCTCAGCGGCAAGCTCGTCCGACAGGTCAGCAGGCAGGCCGGCCGCCGCCACTCGCCGTCGTTGTAGTGCAGGAAATCGACAGTTATAGTAATGAAGGGCCTCATTTAAGGTACTAAATGGGTCGCTCTCGTAACTGCGGGCCGTAGAGTGCTTAGATCGTTCCAGCCGCATGCAAAAGTAATGCCTTACCTTGTGGCACGCGCGTCTTCTGTACCGAATCGCCCCAACCTATGCGCTTTCGGAGGGCCGGGTGCCGTCCGGCCGGTACCATAATGATTGCCCCCTCCACCTATCAGGCCCCTGCCGGCTGGTACCGCCCTGACCTGTGCTGACGCCCCCTCCCCCCACTTCCCCTGTCAGATCTCCGCCGGCCGGTGCCACAGCGCCGCGTGGACGGCGCCGGCCGGCAGCCGCCGCTGTCCGGGTGTCTCGTGCGGCCCCAGCTTGGGCGTGCCGGCGGCCGTGCCGCCCCAGTTCGGCCGGCTGCAGGGCCTGGCGCCGGCGGCGCTGCGTCGCCGCCTCCTCCTGCTGCACCGCTACTCGGACCTGGTGTACGCCAGCTGGCGGCTGCTGCCGCTCATACAGCAGGTGAGGCCCGCCGCGGGGCGGCGTCGGCGCGCGCCGGCCCGGAGACCCGGGCCTCGCGACCGCGCTCCACCCAGCCCATACCGCCGGCTGCAAACGCTGGCGACGTCCGTGATCCGCTGACTGGGGGCGGGGGGGGGGGGGGGGTTGGATCCCCGTGAGACCCGGTGCGCGTCGCTGCTCGGTGGTTTGTTGACGTGACCTTCGGTGAACCAAGCGGACCGGCTGAGATGCTGACCTTTTGCGACCTGCCGGTTCGTCATGGGCTCTACCGTCTCAGCCGTGTGACCAGCCGACCCCGCACTGAAACGGACATCGAACCCGAATCGGGCACTGAACTCGAACCGGGTCCTGAACCCGGACCCGGCACGGAACCCGAACTAGACACCGAACCCAAACCAGGCCCCGCCCTAAAGCAGGCACCGGACCCGAACCAGGCCCCGAACCCGAACCCGAACCGGGCCCTGAGCCCGGACCCGGCACCGAACCCGAACTAGACACCAAGCTCGAACCAGGCACCGAACCATAACCAGGCATGGAGCCCGAACCGGGTACCGAACCCGAACCAGGCACCGAACCCGAACCAGGCGCGGAACCCGAACCAGGCACCTAACACGAGTCAGGCCCCGAACCCAGGCCAGGCTTCGAACCCGAACCAGACACCGAACCCGAACCAGGTACCGAACATGAACCTGAATCCGGCACCGGATCGGACCCAGCCGGCCACAGACGTGTAACCTGACCGGCACCAGCGGCCACAGTGGTGTATTTTGAATAGCGGTGCCTGGCCTAGCCGTGTGACCTGGTGTGGCCATATGCTGGCTTAGCCGCGTAACCTGGGTGTGGCCGTGTGTCGGGCAGCCGTGTGACCTGGGTGTAGCCGTGTGTCGGGCAGCCGTGTGACTTGGGTGTGGCCGTGTGTCGGGCAGCCGTGTGACCCGGGTGTGGCCGTGTGTTGGGCAGCCGAGTGACCTGGGTGTGGCCGCGTGTCGGGCAGCCGAGTGACCTGGGTGTGGCCGTGTGTCGGGCAGCCAAGTGACCTGGGTGTGGCCGTGTGTCGGGGAGCCGTGTGACCTTGGTGCGGCCCTGTGTCGGGCAGCCGTGTGACCTGGGTGTGGCCGTGTGTCGGGCAGCCGAGTGACCTGGGTGTGGTCATGTGTCGGGCAGCCATGTGACCTGGGTGTGGCCGTGTGTCGGGCAGCCGAGTGACCAGCTGACGCCGGGCCTGTCGGCGGTGACATCGGCCGAGCTGCGGCCGCTGCTGGCGCCGCGCGTCTACACCCTGCCGCTGGTGCGCAGTCTGGGCAGGACCATGGTCCAGGTACGGAGCGGCGCTGGTGGCGGGCGCCACGCGCGGGGCCGGTCTGCAGCCAGCGCCAGCACATCAACCGCGGGAGGCTTGTGTTTGGCTACGGGCGGTGTGTTTGTCCGCTTGCTTTTGTAAAGGTTCGGTTTTTAGCGGTAGAACTGCAGGACTTCTATCGGGATGTCGCGCTGAACTGCTCTGTTGCCCTACATTTCACAGTTTTTAGCATGCTTCAAACGCCCAGATGGAGGACAGCTCGGTGCGTGGCGCAGCGCGCAGCGCCGGGTCTTCTCTGCGGTGCCGTGTCCGACTGTCCTCAGCTGACGTGGCGCGTCGCCCGGCAGGGCAAGAACTACGGCCCGCAGATCACGGTCAAGCGGCTGGCGGTGCGCAGCCGCGTCTGCAAGCCCATCTTCCTGCAGATCGCGCGCCAGGTGGTGCGTCTGCGGCCGGCCGAGCTCCGGCTGCCTAGCCGCGCCTGGAAGGTGAGCCGCCGGCCGACACGGCGTCGCGGCGACCGGCCCGACTGCGCTCCTGCCTCCGGGGCTGGCGGGCCCGGGCCCGTCGGGCTGTGGTGGTGTCGGTGACCCGGGCGGGGCCTTGCGGCGGCACATGAGCTGTCTGTCGCCGGTGCCAGCGGCCGGGCGGCTGAGAGCCATGGGCGGGGTCTGAGGTCCAGGCGGACAGACTGGCGTCGGATGATCACGCGTCCGCCCGGGACTGACGCGTCATGCTACGTGTGTTCTGCGGTGGTGCAGCTGGATGGGGGGATAGTCACTGCGCGCGACTGAAGCTGTGACGACCTAGCAGTGCGCGACGAGTGGATTGCCGCTTCCAGAAGAAGGCTGGGTCGACCTGTCGCCGGTTTGGCGGCCGGACCTCATTGACCGGGCTGCTGACACACTGGCGGACCGACGGACAGCCGCCGATGTGCTGCTGGCGGCCTGACTCCATGTGATGCGACTGGCCACTCGGTTCCGGACCCGGCGAAAGGTCCGCGGGGCGGTGCGCTTTGTCTCCGTCTGATCCTCGGCTTTCTCCCGTCCCCAGGTGAAGCTGATTGGGGAGGGCGCGGACGACGCGGGCGGCGTGTTCGACGACACCATCACGGAGATGTGCGTCGAGCTGACGTCGGGTGCGGTGCCGCTGCTGGTGCCGACGCCGAACGCCGTGGCCGACACCGGCTGCCACCGTGACCGGTTTCTGCTCAACCCAGAGCTGACGGCGCCCCACCAGCTCAGTCTGTTCAAGTTCCTCGGTGAGGCGGGCGGCCTCGGGCGCCGTCGGACCCCGCCGGCGGGTTGGGGCGGACCGCGGGCCGGGACGGGCTGGGGAGCGGCAGACGGAGGCGACCGGCCTCGGGCGCCGTCGGGCCGCCGACGGGCTGAGGCGGACCGGGGGCTGGGGCGGACCGCTGGCCTGGGCGGACCGCGGGCCGGGACGGGCCGCGGGCTGGGGCGGACCGCAGGCCGGGGCGGGCCGCGGGCTGGGGCGGACCGCAGGCCGGGACGGGCCGCGGGCTGGGGCGGACCGCAGGCCGGGGCGGGCCGCGGGCTGGGGTGGACCGCGGGCCGGGGAGGGCCGCGGGCTTGGGCGGACCGCGGGCCGGGACGGGCCACGGGCTGGGGCGTACCGCGGGCCGGGACGGGCCGCGGGCTGGGGTGGACCGCGGGCCGGGGAGGGCCGCGGGCTGGGGCGGACCGCGGGCCGGGACGGGCCACGGGCTGGGGCGTACCGCAGGCCGGGGCGGGCCGCGGGCTGGGGTGGACCGCGGGCCGGGGAGGGCCACGGGCTGGGGCGTACCGCGGGCCGGGACGGGCCGCGGGCCGGGACGGGCCACGGGCTGGGGCGGACCGCGGGCCGGGGAGGACCGCGGGCCGGGGAGGATCGCGGGCTGGCGCGGACCGCGGGCCGGAGCGGGCTGATGAGCAGCAGACGAATTCGCAGTGATCGGGAGATGCCGGTCGATGGCGCGCTCCAAAACACGCACGCTCTGCCAGCTACTGTGCTCGCTACGCACCGCTGCGTTGATACGGTCTCCTGTGCCAGACCCTCCCCTCCGTGTAAGGAAGTGCGCGTACCCTGAAGGTGGAGGCCCGGCACGCGTGTTGACGCTGTTCGAGCCCTCTCGAGCGTCAGCCGCTGGTCGTGAGACCGCAGCCGGCGCGCTGACCACGACGCCGGGGAACTGTAGCACCCTGGCCCAGAATGCCGCTTGTACACGCTCGTTTCTGATCGTGCTGCAAATCGTGCCACTGGTGCAATCGCGAGCATCGCAATGCTGTCGCCTTATGTATGCATGGAGGCCGAAACGCGACATTCGGCTCGCTTCGACCCCACAATGTAGTGGCCGCTGGTGAAGCCCGCCTGAGCTGAGGTCCGCTGTGCGGCAGGGATCCTGCTGGGCGTGGCCATCCGCACCAAGAAGCCACTGGCCGTGCCGCTGGCGCCGTTCGTCTGGAAGCTGCTGGCCAACATGAACCTGAGTCTGGACGACCTGGAGGAAACAGACTCTCTCTTCACGCAGAGCCTGCGTTACGTCCGCGAACTGAGCGCTGACATACCCGAGGAGACGCTGCACGAGGTGAGGCCAGAGTCACGGGGGAAACGTTGGTTACTGGTGACGGGGGATGCTGCACGAGGTGAAATGGTGGTCACGGAGACGCCACACCAGGCCGGTTCCGGTACCGGAAGGGTCTGATACTGTCCGTCCCCGTGATGGTCAGGTCCAGCCCTAGGCCCTGCTGCTGATATGAGCATGTGACTCGCTCCGCCGGCCCAGTCCCGTCTGCTGTCGCCTGGCCCTGCCCTCTGTAGGTTTAGTTCGCTCCTATGAACGCCTGCCCTGCTCCGGCCCTGTGCGGGTCCGGCTCGCCTCTTTGAAGCACTGGCCTCGAGAGGGCCCGCTGCGGCCATGTGCGGGTCCGGCTCGTCTCTGTGAAGCTCCGGCCTCGAGAGGGCCCGCTCCGGCCCTGTGCGGGTCCGGCTCGCCTCTGAAGCTCCGGTCTCGAGAGGGCCTGCTGCGGCCCTGTGCGGGTCCGGCTCGCCTCTGAAGCTCCGGCCTCGAGAGCGCCCGCTCCGCCTGAGTGGCCGCCTCTCCGTTGACAGGTGCTGCCAGTGGACACGTTCGAGGCGCCGTCCTGCACGGGCCGCCTGGTGCCGGTGGTGGCCGGCGGCCGCACGCTGCGGGTCACCGCCGCCACCCGGCTGGAGTACGTCCGGCAGGCGGTGCGCTACCGGCTGCACGAGATGGACCTCCAGGTGGGCGACACCGAGCTGCGGCGCGCGCCGCCGCCGGTCGGCTGAGGCGGCGGAGCCGGCCTTCATCCCACCTCGCGACGTGACGCTGCAGAAAGCTCCATAAAGCAATGAAGTTGAACTAGGTGCACGATATTGGACAGAGCACACTCACGTAACAGAAGCGATAGAGCAAGCGAACATAACTTCAAGTCAAACAAAACCTCACTAATGACTACCTGAAACACAGCACAGGGCAACACGGCATGTAAATAGTGTTGATACTTGTGTACGTGGCATCTAACACTGCGGGTAATTGTGCTTTGCCTTCACCGGATGCTTCACCGGAGTCCGCCGCGTCCGGTCTGCCTGGGACGAACCCGTCGAGCCGCCTGCCGTCTGTGGAGGGCGCCGTGCCTGGCCCGGCGTCCCTGTCGTCTGACCGTGCCGTGTGGTCTCGGCAGGTGGCGGCCGTGCGGGACGGCATGGCCGGGGTGGTGCCGGTGCCGCTGCTGTCGCTCATCACGGCCCAGCACCTGGAGCAGCTGGTCTGCGGCCTGCCCACCATCTCGGTGCCGCTGCTCAAGACGATCGTTAGGTGGGCGCCGCCGCCGCCGCTGTCCGCATCGGCTGTTGTCTGCGTGATCAGACGGCTTGCCTGCGACACGGCGATATGACCTCAATTACGCCCTCCCCATATGATCAACTTGGAAAACTTCAGATGTTTGAATTATTACCACTGGGCAAATTACAAATGAGGGAGATCGGGAGGTCGAAGGAGGAGGGAGGGATGGCGGGAGGGAGGGAAGAAGGGACTTCCTCGACATTTCCGGGACGGTCGCGCTGACGGACGTCTCTAAAATTCAAGGGGCTCGCATTCCTGACCACAACTGCTGTCCCTGAATACCTCCTTGGCTTGCGTCTGCACCCTCTCCGCGATGAGCATTAAGGAAGCGCCATTGACGTCCGTGTCAGTGTTCATCGGGCCCAAGTCACCGGCCGTCTCTCGCCCGGCCAGGTATCGGGAGCTGGACGAACAGCATCAGCTGGCGCGCTGGCTCTGGGCCGTGCTGGAGAGCTTCACCGACTCGGAGCGCGTGCTGTTCATGCGGTTCGTGTCGGGCCGCTCCCGTCTGCCAGCCAACCTGGCCGACCTCTCGCAGCGCTTCCAGGTGGGCGTGGCGCGGCTGTGGGCGGAGCGACTTTGGCGGGACTTGTGACCTGGCGTCACTCCCGCAGTCAGGCACGTGTCGGAATTAGGAGGTGCGCGACGTGCCGTGCACGCGGTAATGCTGTTAAAACCATAGCGTGTCAACAGCGCGTTATGCGGTTATCTCAGTCAGCCGGCGGCTCTATGGAGATGTCAGCATCATGCACGGATGGTTATGCCGTGAATCGTCTGACGACCAGCCGGCGGGTGGGCCGACCTCGCCCTGCCCGTTTAGCGCCGCCCTGTCAGCGATGCTGTGACCGTGCTGAGCGTGCCGCGCCACTGGCAGGTGATGAAGGTGGACAAGCCCACGGACGGGCTGCCGACGGCGCAGACCTGCTTCTTTCAGCTCAGGCTTCCCCAGTACTCTAGTCAGGTGAGTGGAGCGGCCCGCGCGCGGTCCGGCCGCGTCATGGTCCGGCGCTGCGCAGCGGTGTCGCCAGCGACCGCTCTATCCGCTTTGGGCACGTGGGCCCCCACTTGCCAGCCGCAGATGTCAGCGCGTGCCAGCGCCACCCCGGTGTCTGTCCGTGCGGCAGTGCTGCCAGCACCACCCCTGTGTGGCCTGACCGTGCGGCAGCGCTGCCAGCACCACCCCTGTGTGTCCTGACCATGCGGCAGTGCTGCCAGCACCACCCCTGTGTGTCCTGACCGTGCGGCAGTGCTGCCAGCACCACCCCGGTGTCTGACCGTGCGGCAGTGCTGCCAGCACCACCCCTGTGTGTCCTGACCATGCGGCAGTGCTGCCAGCACCACCCCTGTGTCCTGACCATGCGGCAGTGCTGCCAGCACCACCCGTGTGTCCTGACCATGCGGCAGTGCTGCCAGCACCACCCCTCTGTGTCCTGACCATGCGGCAGTGCTGCCAGCACCACCCCGGTGTGTCCTGACCGTGCGGCAGTGCTGCCAGCACCACCCCTGTGTGTCCTGACCATGCGGCAGTGCTGCCAGCACCACCCCGGTGTGTCCTGACCGTGCGGCAGTGCTGCCAGCACCACCCCTGTGTGTCCTGACCATGCGGCAGTGCTGCCAGCACCACCCCGGTGTGTCCTGACCGTGCGGCAGTGCTGCCGGCACCACCCCTGTGTGTCCTGACCATGCGGCAGTGCTGCCAGCACCACCCCGGTGTGTCCTGACCATGCGGCAGTGCTGCCAGCACCACCCCTGTGTGTCCTGACCGTGTGGCTGGCGTTGCAGGAGATGCTCGCGGAGCGGCTTCGCTACGCCATCAACAACTGTCGGTTCATCGACATGGATAGCTACATGTTGGCGAGAAACACGGACGGCGGCACGATGTCTGACGACGAGATCATGTAGCTGAACTGCGCTGCGCCAGTAATAGATGGCAGCACTCCGGCCGGCCCAGCGTGGCATCGCGATTCTCGCAGGGAAATTCAGCACTCAAAAGTCATCGTGCCGATGTGTGAGATTTGTGAGCTGCAAAATTGCGATTTCTTGGTGTTCGCCGGGAACTGTGCTTTGTGCTGTGGTTAAGACCGGGCGTGCGCTAACTGCCATCCCGTGCGCCCCCACAGCCCGTATATTGTTCGCAGATACAGGCGTGATCGTGATACTTGTTTTACAGACGCTTATTGCTAGACATCTCGCATCCTGGTTACGAAATGGCAGCTCTCTTTCACTTGACTTGATCACAGAGCTCTTCATTGCTACGAAATGAGTTCAATTTGCGTTGCGAAGTTAATGCGACCACTATTTGTACGCATGTTCACGCTGATAATGTTTTCAAATGGACGCGTTTTTTAAACAAATTGCATCGTTCCGTGTTGTTAAGCGACTTCAGCCTGTTGGTGTGAATAACGTGAGCGTGTTGACGTGACTTTAGTTTATAACGCCTGCGTTTGTTATCTTCATTGGTGTTTAAGTGGTAATTCGTCCATTGAAATTGCAAACGACTGCGATCCAGAATTATTGCATGAATGATATTTTGGGCTAGGCCCCCGAAAATATACTTTAAATAACACCGGCAGTGTAAACCACCAACACAGCACGAGAGACACGATGAAGACAGCTACGACCTGATTGTTATTGAGAGGATCTCACCCTCGTTCGTGAGTTCCATCGTGATCTTACCACGCCGTGAGGAGAGAGTCGAGACGCAGCCTAGTGCACTCTACCTCCAGTGCTGGGCCTCTATGACCACCTGCAGCTTGGGGCAGCGCCGTCGCACGGGAAAATCGCAGTTCTTGTTGCGCCTCACCTGAACATCGTCGCTACACAGGCTGCACCGGTCAGGGAAGAAGCATACGGCTTCAACAGGGAGCAACCCAACTGTTGCGCCTGTCAGGGTCAAACGTCCGGAGATAGCGTGCCATTTCACTAGGGTATATTGTCATATACACAAAATCTGCCCTCTTCCACGTGATACACAACCTCTGGGGATACAGGTGACAGCACTCGAACACAGAATCGGTGCTGAGACAATCGACGGAAGATGATGCTCGCACAGTGCAGGATCTGACCTCTGGGCCTGGAGCCGGTCTCTGGACCCAGCTTCTGGATCCAGCTTCTGGACCCAGCCTATGGACCCGGCCTCTGGGCCTGGAGCCGGCCTCTGGACCCGGAGCCGGCCTCTGCACCAGACCTCTAAACCAGGCATCTGGGCCTGGAGCCGGCCTCTGGACCATGCCTCTGGACCTGGAGCCGGCTTGTGGACCCGGCCCTCGGCCTGGAGCCAGCCTCTGGACCAGACCTCTGGACCAGGCCTCTGGACCTGGAGCGCCCGATCGGTATACGAACGGCCACCAGAGATGGCGACACAGGCCCCAGGCCGCACTGAGCGCGCGCCACTGGCCCAACCCACAGTCGACCAACAGCAGCTGTGATAGCGAAGGCGACTGGCGTGTGGCTGTGGTCGCCGCAGAGTCTCCCGCCCACCACCGAGCGAGACACCGCCAATCGGCGCACAGGCGCCACCTAAGCTCACCAACAACATGGCAGTAAATGATCGATAACAAGTTGAAAAGACACGTCCGGTCTCTATCACAGAGGCTCGTGCCGAATGATAGACCGGTTTGCACTCTCGATGTTGGCGAGCACCGCCGCGCCGCCGCAGCGGACATCCCGACACCCCCGCGCCAATCACAACGGTGCTTGACTGAGCACGTCCCTCATCGCGCCGAGACCACGTGACGTCGCCGGCGCTGTCAGTCACACCTTCGAAACGCGTTGTTGGTCACTAGAGCAACCAATGCTGCCGAGGATATACATCGACGGGGTGCCGTCTGTGGTGTGGGTGTCGGTCGTAAATAGCACGCCAGTGTGGCGTCGACACCAACGCACGCGTCACACCGCGGCGTGACGTCACTACTGTGTGACGTCACGGCCGTATGGAAACCCCACCCACCGCCGCCAACGTCACTTTTCTTATACCTCGCTCGACCTCACTGATCCGGCCTGCCGCGTGACATCACTAGCCCTGCCCACCGCTGGTGACGTCACTAGCCCCACCCGCCGCCAGTGACGTCACTAGCCCCTCTCGCCGGCAGTGACGCCGCGGACGACGACGGCGGACTCGACGCGAGCGGTCTGCTCTGTGAGCTGCGCGTCGGCGTCGTCCGCCGGGCGGCAGGCCACGCCCACGGCGCCGAGGTCGTACAGGCCGGGCCGGGTGACGGCGGCGGCCAGCGAGAGGCGCGCCGAGCCGCCGGCCGCCACCGTCATGTGCGGGTGCGTGCGGCCCACCCAGGTCAGCTCGGCCGAGACGTGCGACGAGTACGGCAGCGGCGAGCGCGGCGACGACCTGGCGGCGGGGCCACGGTCACAAGCACGGAGTGGCGCCAGCGCTGGGCTAAGTCGCCACGAGAGGGGTGCAGCGGCACCTCTTCACCTGGCCACAAAACACGTCACGCGTGTAGACACACACACGCACGCACGCACGCACGCACGCACGCACACACATGCGCAGTACCAGTGTGACGGGGCGGGCCGGTACCTACAGGCTTGCAACGCCACCGGAACAGTGTAGCATTACTTTCCACAAAATACATCACGTCCCCAGGGAGGCCACGTTTATAAAGGTTCACTCACGTAAGTGCCCCACCCATCCCTTGGAGCTACCATCTGCTCGGCCTTCATGGTTTGACGGTTCAGAGCCTAGTTCGCTGAGCTGAGCTGAGCTGAGCTGGCCATGACCGTCGGGTGCTCCGCAGCTCCCCGTCGGGTGCTCCGCAGCTCTCCTGCCCTGCTGCTGGACGGCCCCCGGCCCCCGTCCCGCCCGTGGTCCGGCTCGGCACCGCTGCCGTACTCACGTGGTGGCCGACACGGCCGACAGGTGCACCACCAGGTCACAGGCGCTGTGGTTCTGCAGCAGCATCGTCACCGGAATCACGCACACCCTGCCGGCCCGGCGCTGGCGTCAGCGGAGACGGACAGACAGGCTGTCTGGGGGCTGACATCACGTCAGTTGAGACGGACAGACAGACTGCCTAGGGGCTGACATCACGTCAGTGGAGACGGACAGACACACTGTCTGGGGGCTGACATCACGTCAGTGGAGACGGACAGACAGGCTTTCTGGCGGTTCTGGAGTGGAGTCGGCAATGGTGGACAGGCGGGGTGTCTGCTGGGACAGAGGACGAACAGACAGGCAGTCCCGGGGGTGACATCAGCGGGGGACGGACAGACGGGCAGTCTGCCGGAAGAGGGCGGACAGACGGGCGGTCCCGGGGATGACATCAGCGGGGGACGGACAGACAGGGCGCCTGGCGGTCACCCGTTCAGATCGGCACCAGGAGACGCGGTCGCACATTGGACATTCGTCTGGTTGACGGCCAGTGAGAGAGGACTGCTGCCGCCAATGTGCCGAAGACCCGGCCATCTCCGAGCTTGATATCAGCGTACTGAGTCCGCATTAATCTGATCTTAAGGATTTAGTGTCACGTACAATGTACGTGACACAATGTACGTGACAAAAAATTAATACACGTACAAGAAAAAGAAGAGGAACCCCTACAGTAGTCCCAAAAGCATGTGCCAATGCTCTCCATGTGTTTTCGATGACATCTTTGCATTCAAGCTGGGAAGAGCCGCCAAAAAATCGCTTTAAAGTCGCTAACCAAAATTCCGTACGGGGGTCCGTTATTTCAGATAGATTGATTGGCAGAATGGGCAGCAGGCGGCAACCTTTAGGCCTGGGGAAGCAAGACTACGGCGGGCGGGCGGTCCAAGAGCGGGAGGGCACGCCGGGCTCCCTGCTGCTGGCTGGCACCGTCTGGCCGCGGAGCTTGGTACGATTGCATGTAGATAAGTCGACTTCCATGAAACTCGGCAGGGCGCGGCCGGACTGCACGACAGCACGACACTGCAGACCGGCATCGAGCCACGAGACAAGCCAGTGAAAACCCTCCAGAGGCAAAATACGCCGGCACCCGTGGTCCCCCGTCTCACTGAGTCCGCCGCCCGCCGGCGCCCGCGGTCCCGCGTCTCACGAAGTCCGTCGCCCGCCGGCGCCCGTGGTCGCGCGTCTCACGGAGTCCTCCGCCCGCCGGCGCCCGCGGTCCCGCGTCTCACGGAGTCCTCCGCCCGCCGGCGCCCGCGGTCCCGCGTCTCACGGAGTCCACCGCCCGCCGGCGCCCGTGGTCCCGCGTCTCACGCACCGTTTGCGGTCGAAGTCGTGCTGCACGGTCGGCCGGTGGAGCGGCACCACGCTGACCAGCTGGCGCAGGACGTCAGCGCCGGGCGCCTGCGCGGCTGGCGGCAGCGCCGCCGGCGCCGGGATGATGGTGACGGGCGGCCGAGGCTCGGGTTCCGCCGGCGCCGGATAGGTGGCAGCACTGGCGCCCAGCAGGTCCACCGTCACGTGGTGCTGTCCGTGCAGCGTCGTCTCGCGACCGGCCGCGTCCACGCCCTGCGTCTGCGGAGGCAGGCGGCGCGTCATCAGAGCGTGCGGTCCGCCGGCGGCGGCACTGCGCTGTCCGGTCCGGCACGAACGCGTGGCATCGCGCCACGACGTGAGTGCACAAGCAGAGTGGCGAAGAGGAGTTAAGGTCCACCCGCAGGACCTCCACATGATCCCGCATCATGGCATAGCCTTCAGTAATCGGTTTCAAATGCGAGAAACCACTGACAAAGCCACAGGCTTAACGACTCCCACCAAGATACAACAGGAACATTTTACGGAGATTTACCATGTTAGCGCCAATTTAAATACAATCTGATCAAGCGCGACTGGATGCACACAATTTCATCCCACCATAGTCGTTTTCTGGATACCTCCAAGGCCCTGGCCCAGCCAAGTTCACTACACTACCACCACAGGGGATAGCCAGTCTCAAACTGGCCGCTGTCTGCTGAGACAAGACGCCGGTGATTGGCTGGTGTTTTGCAGCTCGGCGGCAGCTGCGCTCCGTTCCAGCCCACAGCCCTGAGACGACGAGGGCTCGCTCCAGGCGCTGCCGCTTCAGCACCATCACGACACACGGCCGTCGGGTGCGGGCGGCGGCGCGGCCAGGCAGGAGCCGGCGCCTCACCCGCCACAGCAGCAGGACGGCCGCCTCCACCCGGACGGCCTGCTCTAGGCTGGCGGCGCGGCGGAGCTCCATCTGACCGCCAGCCGCCGGCGTCGGCGGCTGGCAGTGGTGACGCAGCAGGAACTCCAGTGAAGGCGAGCCGAGTACACCGCCCTGCGGCACCACGGACGCGTCAGGGGCGGCGCCAGGCAGAGGTCAGGGGCGGCGTCTGGCAGAGGTCAGGGGCGGCGTATGGCAGAGGTCAGGGGCGGCACCAGGCAGCGGTCGGGGACGGCGTCTGGCAGAGGTCAGGGGTGGCGTCTGGCAGAGGTCAGAGGCGGCGTCTGGCAGAGGTCACGGGCGGCGTCTGGCAGAGGTCAGGGGTGGCGTCTGGCAGAGGTCAGGGGTGGCGTCTGGCAGAGGTCACGGGCGGCATCTGGCAAAGGTCAGGGGTGGCGTCTGGCAGACGTCGGGGGCGGCGTCTGGCAGAGGTCAGGGGTGGCGTTTGGCAGAGGTCAGGGGTGGCGTCTGGGGCGGTCTGAGGGCAGCGCTGAGCGGCACTCGTGGTCAGCTGTGTCAACATAACCACTGACGGAGTCATCGTCTTGACTAGTGCCGTCGAGACAAGTACTGTTTTTACACACCACCGCCACAAACCACCATTATTCCTGACATTATCTTAACAAAAAGGCCATGACGCTTCACTTCAAGCGACGTAATTGCCGCGAATAACATCCCAGCACATTATTCCGTATGTTGTAACACCTCGTCCCAAACACACAGCCGAACGGCGCACGTTGCTGCTGGGACCAGCGGACGCCGTAACAGCGGCGTCCGCTGGTCCCAGCGACGATACACTCTCACTAACGCTAACGATGCTCTGGAACCAGTTTCATTCGCGCCAGGCACGCTCCGGCTGACAACGTACTTGCCACGGCACTTCCACCACGAAGATGTCACTTCGTCTGGCACACGGCACAGCGGCCTGCTCGACAGTACACACGCCTCGACCAGCGCCGGGACACCTCAACCACCGGGCGACCGGCGACAGGGAGCGCACAGCTCGGCGTCCAGCTCGGCCGGCTGCTGGGTCACCGCCTCACCTGCTGGCCGTCCAGCGGCACGGTGTCGATGTGAAGCAGCGACCGGCCGCCCTCCGAGAGCCGGACCGGCTGGCGCCGCACCGTCACGCCCAGGTAGGCCGTCTCGCCGCGCGTCACGCGCACCCCTGGCGGCGCCGACCGCGGCTCAGTGCGCAGCGCAGGGAAGGAGCGGGCTCGGCCGCTGCCACGGCAGCCGACACGTCAGCCTGGGCCTGACTACCCTAGCACCCCGAGTAAGGTGTCTTCAGCCTCATTCGATGGTCACCGGCGAGTGTTGGTCGCTGATGGCCACAGCACCCACAGCTGCTTTTAAAACACAGGTCAAACAGGCGAGCCATGAGCGTAGATTGCAGTCTTAACCGGTGTCCGTGTATGGTGTTCCATGCGCGGTGTTCCGTATGCGGCGTTACCCGTGTGACATTTCATGTGTGGTATTCCATGTGTGGTGTTCCATGTGCGGTGTCCCCAGTGTGGTATTCCGTGTGTGGTGCTCCATGTGCGGTGTTCCGTATGCGGCGTCACCTGTGTGGCATTCCGTGTGTGGTGTTCCATGTGTGGTGTTGCGTGTGCGGTGTCCCCTGTGTAGCATTCTGTGTGGTGACCCGTGTGGTGTTCCATGTGTGGTGTCCCCTGTGTGGCATTCTGTGTGGTGCCCCCTGTGTGGGGTCCCGTGAGGTGTTCCGCGTGTAGTGTCCCATGTGCGGTGTTCTGTGTGCGGTGCTCTGACCACACTGCTGACCTGAGGACGGCTGCTGCTGGTCCAGGCGCCAGCCGGGGGCGGCCACGGCGGCCCTCTCCAGCAACACCGCCGCCTCCGTGGGCTGGACGCCGCCCACCTGTAGCTCCAGGTGGAGGCGGCCGGCCGGGCCGGCGCCGCGCGCCGCACGCACGCTCACCGCCAGGCTCGGCGTGACCAGCAGGCGGCCGGCGTGGCGCAGCAGCCGCGGCCGGCCGGGCCCGCCGGCGGCGCACAGCAGCAGCTCCAGCGGCCGCGGCCCGTCCGCGTCCGGCGCGCGCAGCCAGAGCCGCCGCTCCAGCCGGCCGCCAGGGGGCAGGCCGCCGGCCGGCAGCGCCAGCTCCAGCACGCGGCTTGGCGCCGCCGCCTCCGGCCACACACGCTCCTTCTCCTGATCCTGCTCCGACGCGGGCTCCGCCGCCGGCTCGGCCTCCAGCACCAGCAGCTGAGGGTCGGGCGTGGCCAGCAGAAGACGCCGCAGCGGCCGGCGGCCGGCGTTGGCCACGCGCAGCTGGAGGGCGTGCAGCTGGCCGCACATGAGCGCCGTGGGCAGGCCGCGCAGGCTGAGCTGTGGCTGCGCCGCCTCCTCCTCCACCACCACCTGGCGGCGGGCGGCGGCATCGGCGGCGTCAGCGCACACGCCCCGTCCGTACACACGGTCTGAGGCTGGCGACCGCCGCTGGGGTTCGGCGAGAAGACAGCGCGGACCAGGAGCCCGACCGCCGCTGGTGTTGTTGCAGTCAGCCCTCAGTTTGGTAACACACCAGCATTGGTGCTGACAAAGCAGGCAACCGAAGAACACGGCGCTAGCGCGTTTAGCATCCAGCAAGAGCATAGCAGTACAGATGGCCCAGCGGACGGGTACAGGCACTTCGGCCCGCTGCGGCTGGCCTCGAGTCGGTCCGGAGTCACTGACCTGCAGGCGTCTATCCTCGGCGTACATCACGGCGGCGCGCTCCTCTTTGGTGCCGTTCAGCCGGCGACCCCGCACGTTGATTGGCTGGCAGCCGCGCACCGACAGCGGCGCCTCCGCGCTCTGGCTTTGGTCTGCAGCCTCTGTTTCGGCCGGCGCCGAAGCCAGAGCGAGCGTGAACTCGTATCCCCGGATTGTCAGCTGGCCCGGTACGTGAGCGGTGATTGCCAAGGTCACCTGGGGGTCAAATAACAAGGCAGAACAACTGAATGATCTAAATAAGATACCCAAAACGAGAACGAAACTAAATCAGTACCAAGATTTAGTAGCTTATCAAACAAGCAATGCTACGCCCGGTTCGGCCCGTCGTATCTGTCCAGAACTGCCATGGCCGCATTTTGTCTACCGAATCATTCGGATTATGTTCGTGAACTCATGCCACCATAAAAGCAAGGCGAGCGTATGAAACAACAATTTAGAAGAAGCGCGTCGCATGCACTAAAGCTAGAGCTGCCACAGCGTACACCGCAGCCGAGAGCCAGAGGGGCCGTACTCTCAACAGTCGGCACCTGCATCATGACAGTCACATCCTTAACGCTATTGGCACCGGTCTACAGGCTTAAGGATATGGCTGGTAACAGCACTGCTATCCAACACCAGTGCATTAAACGTTGACCGGTGCTTTCTGGCACCAGCGACGTACCAGCAGCGGCGACTCAGGAAATCCCCGGTACAGCCCGCAATGCCGCAATGCCGCAATGCCGGCTGCCGGAGCCGTGGTCCCAAAATTCTGCGCCTCTACTCCGAACACACGCACAGACGTGGCCCGATACAGGGGCGGACAGCAGACCTCCCAGCGCCATGTCAGCAGCGCCCTCCCCGACGAGAGGCCAGAGCTCGCAGCCGCCAGCCGCCAGCCGCACCCACCTCCTGCGTGCAGTTCTCCTCCAGCAGGCAGCGCGGCAGGGTGTGCGCCGTCACGTGCGACTCAGAGGCGGCCGGCGCGCGCGCCACGAACGAGTACTGCAGCCGCAGCTCCGACAGCTGCAGCGGCACGCGCAGCGGGTTGCGCAGCACCAGCTGCACCTGAACCGGCTCTGCGGGGCGGCGCGGAGCCCCGCTCACTGAGAGGTCGCACCGACCGGTGACGCGGCCGGGTCACAGAGGCACGTCACGGGGGTCAGCCGCCATGGTGGCAGCGGGTCCGCCAGACGGATCGGCGGTCCAGGACTCGAAACGTTCTCCCTCCACCTTGGAGTGAACATTGCTCATTCAAGCTGCATAAATGGCTGCACAGACACTGGAAGCGTTGCTGTGAATCTGAGGTAGCAGTACTGCGGGGCAACGCGTGTCAACGGAATGCTTAGGTAACGGGCATAGCAGCGCCCCTTTGGACGTGGCCCCCTTGCTGCCGGCTCACCTCGGGTTGGTATGGTGAGCCTCAGCGCCCCCTCGGACGACAAACCCCGCACGAACCAGGTCAGGTGATAGGTAATGGGTCAGTGGGCTGGCTGGCGTGTCGGCGACTTTTCTCACACAGCTCAAGCAATCCGCTACGCTGAATTTACGGAAACCTCGACGGCTAGTGACCCGACCGGAGGGCAAGCTCGCCTCCCCACTGGACCAGCGAGGTGCTGCGTACATAGAGGAACCAACCCTGTGTCATAACGCCTGCCGGAACGACCTCCCTTGTCACATACACACACCCTCAGACGATGTAAACTGATCGTCTGAGTCAGCACCCACCTGCGGCGCAAACCCACGGGCTGGCCGCGTTGTTGGTCTTGTCCGTCATGCACTGGATGGTGGGTCGGAACGGCGCGGTGCTCTCTCTCAGCCACTCCATGCACAGCTCCTCCAGCTGGAACCACCTGGCCGGCGCGGCACGGCGCAGGTCAGTGCCCGCGTCTCGCGTCAGACCGAGTATTCGTACCGGGCGCCAGCTGACGGGCAGTCCCTCAACGGACAGCGCGGACGGTCGAACCACGGCCAGGTCAGCACACGCGACACACGGCGGCGTCACACGCCCGGAAATACCACGCCACGTACGTTGAGCAACCGCCTCTGCGTTGACGTCCGCGTGGAATGCCCAGGCTCAACTGCCCGTGCGCTCCATCAGGGGTGGCGCAACGGCGCGCACCGAGCATCCCACGAAAGCGGCGCCTTAAGGGAGCGATACGTGCGCCGCGCACCCCACGAAAGCGGCGTCTTCCGGGAGCGATATCGTGCGCCGGGCACCCCACGAAAGCGGCGTCTTCCGGGAGCGATATCGTGCGCCGGGCACCCCACGAAAGCGGCGTCTTAAGGGAGCGATATCGTTCGCCGGGCACCCCACGAAAGCGACGTCTTCCGGGAGCGATATCGTGCGCCGGGCACCCCACGAAAGCGGCGCCTTAAGGGAGCGATATCGTGCGCCGGGCACCCCACGAAAGTGGCGTCTTCCGGGAGCGATATCGTGCGCCGCGCACCCCACGAAAGCGGCGTCTTCCGGGAGCGATATCGTGCGCCGGGCACCCCACGAAAGCGGCGCCTTAAGGGAGCGATATCGTGCGCCGGGCACCCCACGAAAGCGGCGTCTTATGGGAGCGATCTCGTGCGCCGCGCACCCCACGAAAGCGGCGTCTTAAGGGAGCGATATCGTGCGCCGGGCACCCCACGAAAGTGGCGTCTTAAGGGAGCGTTATCGTGCGCCGCGCACCCACGAAAGCGGCGTCTTAAGGGAGCGATATCGTGCGTCGCGCACCCCACGAAAGCGGCGTCTTAAGGGAGCGATATCGTGCGCCGGGCACCCCACGAAAGCGGCGCCTTAAGGGAGCGATATCGTGCGCCGGGCACCCCACGAAAGCGGCGTCTTAAGGGAGCGATATCGTGCGCCGCGCACCCCTACAAAATGAACGGGCAGGCTACGACACGAGATGTCTAGCCGCAGACCATTCCGAGCCGGCCCGGGTACGCCGCGCGCGCCGTCGGCGGCGGCCGGGCGGCGCGACTCACTTGGCGTTGTCCTCCTCGTCGTCGGCGAACGTGACGCCGGACGCTGGCGTCCAGCCGTCGGCGGGCGGCTGTTGGCCGGGGCTGACCAGCACGCGCGTGCGCGCCGCCAGCAGCGTCGGCACCGGCAGCTGGGGCGGCGCCGCGCCCACAACCGCCTGCTGCTGCTGCCGGCGGCCGAGGGGCGTGAACGGGCGGCCCGACCGGGGCGGGCACGGCACGAGACGGCGGGGAGACGGCCGCAGCCGACGCTGGTCACCAGCGAGGCAGAGACGGACTATGGGCCACTCCTGATGATAATGACGCGGGGAGGACGGGACATCATGGCACATGCAGTCACTGGCATGCCTTGACACACCACACATATTGACACCAGACAGTTGTTTTCGCCAGACATTGGCTTACAATTTATTACCTTTGGAATCATTACTTGTACATAACTGTCAATTATTGACAGTTGTGTGCAAGTAATGATTCGATGCTTAGCGATGTGCATAGGAAAAGATGCGATACGATGCTGCCGGCGGCCGAAGATTGCTAAGCCTCCCATACGATGCTTAGCAAGTCCATAGGAGAAGAACGATTCACTCCGCAAATACTTGTTTTTGCCGAGATAAGAGACGTTGCTGGGGCCCTTTTTACAATGGACAGAAACGCGTATATTATCATATACGCGTTTTCGCCCAGATACGCGTTTTCGACTTTGACAACCGTTAGGTTTCAATACCGTCTTCCCATGTCAAAAAACATCCTCAGCAGTTAAGACTTAAGTTATTTCCATTTATTTTCATTTTTTACATTGCTAGATAGAGAACTGCTTTCGCTTCCGATTGGTATGCAATTTCTACTCACTGGTTCTGGTTAACGGCCATGACACCGAAATAACCCCAAAAACGTTCTCCTGAACAATTATGAAATTGCTAGTTACGCGTTTTTGACTTTTGACGGCAGAATATATTCAAAGATCATTTCGAATCACCACCCTCATCTGAATGACGTTTTCCAGGCGCTGGCCGGCTCGACTGCCGCCCAGTCGGCTTACCCTGTGCACCTGCAGGTATTCCCTGACGAAGGCGGTCTGCTGGGCGGCCGACTGGCGCGCCTCGCTGGCGGCGGCGCCGGCCAGCAGCCGGCCCAGCCAGGCCAGCGCCGCCGCCGGCTCCTGCAGCGTCTCCGAGTGGCGCGCCAGTGTGAAGGCGATGTGGTCGTCGGCCAGCCGCCAGCCGTGGCCCTCGTACACCTGGCGGCGGCGGCGGCGGCGGCGGCGTAAAGGCGGCGGTCACACTCCGCCAGCCGGTGAGCCGTGGAGTGGGGTCCTCGCACACCCGGCCACGCGACACGTCTCTCCGTTTGGCGAGGTGGTAACGTTTTTTGCGGGAACAACTATGTTACATAAGTTGGGAGCGGCGAAAAAATCGGGAAAGAGAGAAAATAGCATGGAATAACTGGTTAGGAAAAGAAAACAGAACGGAGGGTGAGCGAGGGAGGAGGGGAGGAATAAGGAACACAAGGACGAGGGAGGGAGGTAAGAGAAGGAGACAAGGAGAGGAATGGATACGAAAGCTCACCCTCCAACATCGAAATGAGCGTTCGACATATCGCGACATTCAAAACACCAGCCACAAGCCCATAACTGCTCCCGACGCGCACCGCCACGCCCATGACAACAGCCTGTTGGCTGACAAGTCACGTGCTTAAATAAGTGGGCGTCTTCTAACAACACAAATGGTTACAAACACCCACAGATGGAGCCAGACCCCAGAAAAGCCGCCTCTGTAGCCGCCGGTGACGGGCCGCCCGGGCGGGCCGGTCCGCCCCGGCCCCTCCCCGCTCGGGCCGGCTGTTCACCTGCAGCGCCTGCTGGTACGCGCGCAGAGTCCGCCCCGACACCTCCCGCTCTGGCCGGCTGCTCACCTGCAGCGCCTGCTGGTACGCGCGAAGACAGTCCGCCCCGACACCTCCCGCTCTGGCCGGCTGCTCACCTGCAGCGCCTGCTGGTACGCGCGAAGACAATCCGCCCCGACACCTCCCGCTCTGGCCGGCTGCTCACCTGCAGCGCCTGCTGGTACGCGCGCAGACAGTCCGCCCCGACACCTCCCCGCTCGGGTCGGCTACTCACCTGCAGCGCCTGCTGGTACGCGCGCAGACAGTCCGCCCCGACACCTCCCCGCTCGGGTCGGCTGCTCACCTGCAGCGCCTGCTGGTACGCGCGCAGACAGTCCGCCCCGGCACCTCCCCACTCGGGCCGGCTGCTCACCTGCAGCGCCTGCTGGTACGCGCGCAGACAGTCCGCCCCGGCACCTCCCCGCTCGGGCCGGCTGCTCACCTGCAGCGCCTGCTGGTACGCGCGCAGACAGTCCGCTCCGGCACCTCCCCGCTCGGGCCGGCTGCTCACCTGCAGCGCCTGCTGGCACGCGCGCAGACAGTCCGCCCCGACACCTCCCCGCTCGGGCCGGCTGCTCACCTGCAGCGCCTGCTGGTACGCGCGCAGGGAGTGGCGCCGTTGGCCTGCCTTAGCGAACCGGTGACCAGAGAGGATCATGTGGAAGGCGTACTTGCGCCGGCCGGCCGGCTGTGTGTTCAGGAAACAGTGTGCCGCCTGCTCCAGCAGCAGCGCCGACCTGGCGGTGGCCGCCGCAACCTCAGCCTCCCGAGACACGCACAAGGTGGCGGTAATCGTGTCAGCTGATACGCACACTGCGGAAATCATTGTGATGAAATCTTGCATTTTTGCAAGCCTTACAATATTTTGGACCTTCTGGACTTGCCACCCCATGTGGTCTGACAACTGACAACTGGTCCGATGTAATCTGACCTGACACGAGGTCCACTGACCTGACCTGACCTGAGCTGACCCACGCGGTACTGTGACCCGACCTGACACGCACCTGAGGTCAGCGTCCTCCGCCGTCAGTCGGATGAACTGCAGGGCCGCTTCCGCGAACTGTCCGCGGTCCTTCAGACACTCGGTGCTGAAGAGCGTGGCACGCAGCGCGAAATTTGGCATCCTGTCGGAAAATGGACGAACGTCTACTACCAGACGGCATCGATAGGTAGCGTACAGCATTAAGTGACGTCTCCATCACGCAATAGCATGGACTGTATTGTCCACCACCGTTCTTTGGAAAGCCCAGAGATAGACGAGAGGCTAGCGACAGCTTTGTGAGACATCTAAACTAACGCCCTAAGATTCCCGTCCCCATTCCACTGCAGCGCGGGCACGTGATGCAACCGATTGGTGTTTTCCCAAACACCAACAACGACGGTGGACGGATGGTCCCTTCATCTTCACCAACCCAACCCGGCCACCGGAGCTGGCCCTCCGCCCTTCTTTCCTCATTCACCACCTCATTCTGAATCCCCGCATTGGCCGGGACAGGCTGGGTACATCAGCCTTGAGTGGGCTGGAGTGTCCCCCCCCCCTCTCTCTTCCCCCCCCCCCCCCTAGCGGGAACCCCGGCCGGACGACGCGGAGGCCCAGAGGTTCATTGTTCGGGGTAAGTCTCGGCAGCAGCGGACCGCCACATGGCCCAGCCTTGCCGCGCCACTCAGTTCCCCCAGTCAGCACATTGCACCCACTCAGAACTTCCACCAAACCAAATCTGACTGATATGGCCCAGCACCGAACTGTCAGCTGCGCGGCCGACGGCGCTGGGACTGCCGACCTGCACGTGTCCAGGTAGGTGGTGACGGCTTGGTCCAGGTAATGCTGCGGGAACGCCTTGCCCTGGGCGCCGTGAAGAAACACCGACAGTGCTGCCATCTCTACGGCGCCGGCGAAGTGCAGCCACGCCGAGTCGCCGTTAAAGTCGCGTTTCGCTGTGTGATACGCCTGTGAACACAGGACGTGACCTCACTGTGTGACAGCACGAGTAATGCCGTCCGCCTGACACATAGAATCACATGTCAAATGGTAGCCATCATCACAGCACTGTGATATCATTGCAATGCCCCTGGCCATATCCGGCGTGATTACCTGGTAGGCCAGGTCATAGTGGCCGAACATGAAGGCCAGGTCCCCGAGCCGCCGCACCTGAATCTCAGGAGCTTCGTGGCTGTATCTGAAGACACAAAACACACACCAGGCCTGGTCAGCCCCATCCATACAAGCTGACCAACAGTTTCAGCACAAACAAAGCATGCCAATTCATGCGCAACCAGAGCCAGATACAAACATTCAAGAATATGACTGGGTGACAGGGGGGGGGGGGCTGGGGGAGGGGCAGCAGACCTTTTCTATCGCCTCTATCCCGCTCCTGACACGTGTCTGTCAGCAGGGTTCCGTCCGACCACTCACATGACGCTGTTGGCGGGCGCTGCGGCGCTCGAGCCGGGCTGTTTGCCGCCGAACCAGCGTTTGGTGGCGCTGAGCAGGGAGCGACTGACACCCTTCCTGTTGTTCACCTGCGGGGAAGGCCCGAGGGGTGACAATGAGGCGGAGAAGGCCCGAGGGGTGACACTGAGGCCCGAGCGGTGACAGTGAGGCGGAGAAGGCCCGAGGGGTGGCACCGAGGCCCGAGCGGTGACAGAGGCGGAGAAGGCCCCAGGGGTGGCACTGAGGCGGAGAAGGCCCGAAGGGTGACACTGAGGCGGAGAAGGCCCAAGGGGTGACACTGAGGCGGAGAAGGCCCGAGGGGTGACACTGTGGCGGAGAAGGTCCCAGGGGTGGCACTGAGGCAGAGAAGGCCCGAGGAGCGACATTGAGGCGGAGAAGGCCCGGGCGGTGACACTGGGGCGGAGAAGGCCCGAGGGGTGAAACTAAGGCGGAGAAGGTCCGAGGGGTGACACTGAGGCCCGAGCAGTGACACTGAGGCGGAGAGGGTCCGAGGGGCGACAAGGAGGCGGAGAAGGCCCGAAGGGTGACACTGAGGCGGAGAGGGCCCCAGAGGTGACACTGAGGGCGGTCGCGGCGCCGATAGGACCTACTTGCGCTCTCGGCGAAAGGGACAGACACGACCGGGGAGGACATCGTGGGGCGGCGGCAATGACGGCTCTAGGAGCCCCGGGTGACGGCCATATGAGACACGGAGGCGACAATGAACCCCCTCCAGTCGCTGACAGGTGTCATCGCCCAGAACGTGATCACGGGAAGATCAACGTCACTCGAAATCCGCGCGATCGACCCAAAAAGGACCACTCTGAGCGAGAGCCGCTCTGCGTCGAGATAGAAAAAGAAAGTCTCGAGCAATAGGAATCGCTCAACAGAACAAAGCAGATAGAAACCGCGTGGGATAGCCACTGATCGCCAGCTACGGGCACGAGGCGCGACGTACGACATCGCTGAGGGCCCGCATCTGGCGCTCCACGTGCGGCAGCAGGCCGCGGATGCACAGCTCCGAGATAAAGATGGTGACCCGGTCCAGGTCGGAGGCCGACAGGCAGGCGCCGTGACCCTGCCGACGGGTCAGGGTCAGACGCTGCACCAGACGGGGAGTGGGCTGGCGGAGCAGACACCGACCATGTCACGTGCGGCCCACGCCGATCGACAATTGTAACTCGACTAAAGCTATTTTCACCATTGACAGCCATATCATACGCGCCTTTGCAATCAACTACACAAAGTGCGATTAATAGCTCTCTAATTGATCTGGTCATGTTCTCTTGCACCCCGGACAAAGTTATGGTACTACACCACCGTCACGGGCACTCACCACCGCGCCGACGCCGCCCGTCTGGGCGGGGTAGCTGACGCGGTTGACCAGCACGGCGGGCGCCGCCGGGTCGCGCACCGGCGCCGGCCGGTCGGCGGCGGCCGGTGGCGAGGCCGGCTCGGCCGGCGCCGGCCGCGGCGGCGGCGGCGAGCCGGACCGGCCCAGCTCCGGCGACAGCGGGTGGTCGGCGATCATCGGCGGCAGCGGCGGCGGCGACGCCGGTCCACCCAGCTCGCCCTCCACCACGCGCGCCGGCAGCGACGTCAGCTCGGCCACCTCTGCCGGCGTGTCTGGACCGGAGCGCTGGGCCGGCGTGGCCTCCTACGGCGAAGCGAGGGGCAGGGTCATAGGCGGCAGACCCACTGAACTGGCGAGAAGACGGGGTGGGGGACAGGTCTCGACGCACCATCGAGAACGCCACGCATTTCAGTCTTTCTCAGATTATCACACTTTTGTTAATATTCCAGAGCTGAGCAAGAGACCGCAGCTTAGAAAATACAATAAAACATTGCACACAATCTAACTCTATATCTGTCAACTGCATCCAGAAAAAACACCCGAAACTGTCTATACAACAGCTCTTACCAGATAATATCTTTGGTTGGTCGTGACCGCAGGCATAACCGTATCACATCAATATATTTAGATTGAGTTCTTCTTCAGCCTAATCTGCCGTGTACCGTCACTATCCACCAACAGCTGCTCCCTTGATCACGGCATCCCGCCGGCTGCGTCCAGCTCGGCCCGGCTCCGCCCGGCCAGCAGGCGGCGCGCGCTGCCCGCCGTCTCACCAGGTGGGCGGCCGGCCGGCGCACGTGCGTTGCCCACGGATCGGGGCTGTGCGGCTCCTGGTGTTCGGGTGGGCGTGAGTTGAGCCGCAGGTGGTGGCAACAGTGGGCACCGTACGTCGACTTCATCTGCTCGAACACGGCGCTGGCGCTGCCAACACCCGGCAGCGACGTCACAGCGCGGCACCACGCCCACCAGGCAGACAACAGGAACTAGGAACGCTGAGACGACGGGCAGCCGCTGCTTGGGTGCAGGATCGCAGCACTCGTCGGCTTCGGCCACAACCGCCGCCACGTAAAGAGGACGTGTACGGGCAAGATCCGTAAAGGCGTGCTTCCCTGGTCACTCCTGGCTTTATCTTGTAAAATCAGTGACTGTGCTTAACTCAAACGCAAACCACTGTTTAACCGGACTCCCAGCTCCTGGCAACAAACCTTGGTGACGAAGCCTGGGTCCAAGCCTCGTCTCCCACACCCCTGCTGACCTGACCTCTCGCCACTCCCGGGCCCCTCCGCCCCCGGCCGCCCAGCCGACACTGACCTGGCCTCGGGCGTGGCGGACGAGTCCGTCACCAGCAGGTGGTAGAGCAGCACGTTGTTGGAGAACCAGCGCGCGCCGCCGGCCGGCTGGCCGTGCTGCAGCTGGTGCTGCTGCTGCACCAGCTGCTGCAGCTGCTGCAGCGGCGCCGCCGCCCCGCTACTCACAGCCAGCAGGCAGGCCACGTAGCGGCGCACGAACTCGTGCTCCCCGGCCGGCTCCACCTGGTGGCGCGGTCACCGGTCACGGTAAGGTTACGGCCGGTCACGGTCAGCTTACGACCGGTCACGGTCAGTTCTCGACTGGACAATGTCAGGTCACGGCCGGCCACAGCCAGGTCACGGTCAGGTCACGGTCAGGCACTGTCAACTCACGGTGAATTCGGGCTCTGGTCACGGCCCCGTTACAGGGTCAATGGGGGAGTTCAGTTCCGGACCACTCACCACGAAAGAGGAGGACTAGGGAGAAATGAGGATGGAGAAAGAACGGGAACGAGGCTGCTCGCGGCCGAAATTCTCAACGGAACGCTTTGGACAAACGTACCTGACATAAAACAGTGGGAGCAAACTTTGCATAATGCCACAAAGAGGCAAAAACTACACGAAATGAAAAGGCTTTTTATGCTTCCCATGACTCCAGAGTATATCTTGGCTATGACTTTGTGACCACGCATGAACAGCTACGGAAACTAAGCGTTCCGGTCTACGGGTAAAATTGCTGAACTTTGCACAAAACAGTCAGTCCAGACAGTACCAGAATTTCTATATCTTCGTGGAACTGCCACATCTACGCAAAAAGGGGCACTCCTCGCGATTCTGTCCAAAATAAACGACACTGCCAGAAACAGTCCCATACTGATTGGCATCACCCTCCACGCGGATCCGCACGGTACCGCACCCGCGCTGAGCGGTGCATGCCAGCGCTCGCCCGCGCCGCGTCACATTAACCGCTCCGATCCCATGACCTGAGGCGGCGGTCGTGCGGGCCAGCACGCGCAGCTCGAAGCACCAGGGCGAGCGGGCGCCCCACTGACCTGCAGGAAGCGGTCTCGCCAGGACTCGAACCACGGCGTGTTGGGCCGCACCGAGCCGTCCTCCGGCAGCGGCAGCTGGCTCTGGGAGACGGCGTCGGAGAGCTGGCGCTTGGCCTGGTGGGCCGGCGGCGGTGCCGACAGGCTCCAGTCGTCCAGCCAGAGGTGCAGCTCGCGCACGGTCACCTGCGTCCCCAGCGGGTCCCGGTACTGCACTGCAAACCGGCACGGCCACCGGTGAGACCGGCACGGTACGCGGGGAGGCCGGACTGCACTGACACCGGCATGGTACGCGGGGAGGCCGGACTGCACTGACACCGGCACGGTACGCGGGGAGCCGGACTGCACTGACACCGGCACGGTACGCGGGGAGGCCGGACGGTGTCTGCACTGACACCGGCACGGTGCGCGGGGAGGCCGGACTGCACTGACACCGGCACGGTACGCGGGGAGGCCGGACAACACTGACACCGGTACGGTACGCGGGGAGGCCGGACTGCACTGACACCGGCACGGTGCGCGGGGAGGCCGGGCTGCACTGACACTGGCACGGTACGCGGGGAGGCCGGACTGCACTGACACCGGCACGGTGCGCGGGGGGCCGGACTGCACTGACACCGGTACGGTACGCGGGGAGGCCGGACTGCACTGACACCGGCACGGTACGCGGGGAGGCCGGACTGCACTGACACCGGCACGGTACGCGGGGAGGCCGGACTGCACTGACACCGGCACGGTACGCTGGGAGGCTGGACTGCACTGACACCGGCACGGTACGCGGGGAGGCCGGACTGCACTGACACCGGCACGGTGCGCGGGGAGGCCGGCCGCTTTAGAACGCTGCACTGCAGTGGCAATCAAGCTGCTGCGCGATGCGCTGGATACTGCGTAATTTATCACGCTGCCGGCGTAATGACCCGGGACCCGGGCCGTGACATGCCACTGGAGCAGGCTCCGAGATTTGTGGCGTGTGACGCCACGTCACTCCTTATGTGACGTCGTCCAGGCACGCCGTAACAAGGAGAGATGTGACGTCATACATGTCGTAACGAGCAGAGCTGAGGCCGGACAATGGAAGGCAATCGCCGCGCATCGCTGTAGACCCTGCAAACAATACGTCAGACATACCATATCATGGATCGCGAAGACAATGAATAGAGGGCAAACGCGAACGCACCGGCCGCGAAGCCCAGCGTGTTTGAGATGCGGCCGACAGCGCGCCGGCGCCGTGACCTCGGCCGTGACCTTAGCGGCGCCCTCACCATCCGTGTTGAGCTGGCAGAAGGGCTGCAGCAGCTCCGTCAGCGTCAGGTCGTTCCGCATGCAGACGGCATCGGCCTCGGGCGAGGTCATGACGGCCACGCGCGGCCGGAACGCTCCCCGCACAAACTGCGCTGCCGATTGACTGCACTGCGCCATGGCGCGAGCTGTGCATGGGGCACACCAGTCACAAGTGGCACTAAGGCCCTGAAGGTGCAGGAGGGGCCCTCCCTGCAGGAGGGGCCACCACACTGCATGTGACATGTGACTGGTTCAGGCTCTCTGGGCCTTGCCATGATGGAGACAGACTCAACCCTGCAGATGGCATGGATGGAAGCAAAAGGGCTACACTGACAGTCAATCCAGACTTGCAGTCACTTGTAGTGTTGCTGGGCATTGCTGTCATAAACCTGAGCCTCAGCTCTGTACAGATGGGGGTAGAGGGTTGCACTGGCCTGCATCCAGAGCAGACCCACATACTGTGGATACATAAGATGAAGCTCAAATTTTGTATGGTGCTGGTGTGTGTGTGCATATTCTGCTGTTAGTGTCTCTCTTCTTACATCTCAACAGTTACAATTTCTACTCCACATAGAAACTAAGGTGCTGGCTAGAAGTCATGACAACCAGCAATGGGTCAGCAGGCTGAGCAAGACATCTGTGTTCACAGGCTGTCATAAGAGAAGCTCAGGGCCCTTTGAAAGAGAGCCTCATGTCAAAAGTGCCAAGCTTGGCTCTGTGCAAGAGTGACTAAAGAAAGATTTTAAGAAAAAACTGGTACATTAAGCAAAGTATTGTGTGTGTCTCCATGGAAATATCCTTAAGAATGCAGGATGCATTCCTGGGACATACACACCTGCAAAATACCAGAACCCATCACCAAAGTTGGGCAAAATAAAAATTTAGATGTAAAAATCAATCTAAGCAGTCCTTACAGGGAATGCACTTCAGAATACCCTTAAGAGTAAGTGAAAACAATTTGGGACTTTTTGAGAATCAAGGCATCCTATGCACTTCTCCCTCCAAACCAGCATACTCCAGGTAATGTTCTGGAACTGTCCCTTATATCAATACCTACACATTTTCATGTAAACTGGTACAGCTTAGATAAGCATTTTCACTTCTATGAAGCCAGGGATCACATTTGCCCATTAGTTTGTCCTATATATCTGGTGCTACACATACCTGACAGAAAATGACCCATACATCTGGTTGGTTACCTGGCTCGTGTCATATATCTGGTGCTGCACATACATATGACCAAACAAGGTAGGGTGCTGGAAGGTCATATTATGGACTTCAGAAACCAACATTCCATATCACACTGACATGCAAATGACAGAAACAATAATGATGTTTTACATTGGCATTCTGCCTCACATACAAGTGACTGCCAAATGAGAAGTTTTCAAGGAGGACCGTTTTAAGCAATATTGACGTTCAGTATAAAACACCGGAAGGCTTATCTATCTGTTTATCCAGCTAAAATTATATTCCGTCCTTCGTGCAGCGCGCTCTTGGCGTTCTAACATTCAGATGCAGGGTGGGCTAAAAAAGGCGTACAATTGTACAACTAAAAGTTGCATAGAACGGGTTGCAAACTCGCATTATGCTACACACCACAACACATCACAACGCTTTTACCTCCCGTGTTAACACGGAGCAAAGGCCAGCCCTCAGTGCAACAAAATCTCGCACATCGACATTTGCTCGCCGGCAAGGTACTATAAAAAGCAGGTACCATCAAGACTCTAAATGACGTCATCCAAGGCTTGATTGTGTGTCACGTGTGCTCTCAGGTGTAGATCGAGCAATTTTGAGTCAGCGAAATATGCATATAAAAACGTACATAACGCCTTATATATACAATGATAAACACAAAATATGTATACACTAAAAAATATGGCTATAATTTCATTGATCACAGATTTTATACCGACAACCGCATTGTAACTCGGGCAAAATCAATCATGTCATGACGAAGTTGAGATTTATAAGCAATTTATGCTAGATTTTGTATCTTTCATTTCAGATATGGTGCTTCTAGTTTGGGCGCAAAACAGCGTTCATGTTTCGATAGTGAACTTCCGAACAAGTGTATTGTTGTAGTCAAGTTGATGCGGATGATGCGTGATGCGTTGATGCGTTGCTGTTTGTGATAAAGTTTGTAATGGACTGAGGCATCATCAGATAGCCTAAGCACACTTATAGGTGTGGTTTGAGTTTTTGAAGAATGAGAGGTGAGGTGTGAATGGATTTATACGCATTTGATTCGGGCTTCAGAAACGGATCTATGTTTATTGCAATTAGTCGTGTTTTCTCTGCATCAGTTCACCGTCATTTGTCAGTCGCCGTGAAAGGGTGAAATATACCATGTACGTAGGTTCAGAAATTTCAAATATACACCCGTGATTACTCACCACCAATTGTGCATCATCTGTAGTTTTGTGGCATACTTCACTGCATGCCCTTTAGATACAAATGGTTTAAAAATGAAAAATGTGAAACCACTACACTTACTGATAAGCTCACTTGTTTTGACAATGAAACAAGCTGTATTCCAGCCAATCTAATATGAGACCTAATCTCAGGGTTATGGGGTGAGCCTAAAACTGATGTTTTATGTGGAGGTCCTGAGCTTCTGAGATGTTGGGTCAAGCTCAGGTCAAGGTCATGTGGCCAGTTGATCTGGGTGTTTTAAAGCTTCAAATCAAGTAACCAACTAGCCTCAATTAGGGATACATGTCTAAATCTTGCACTAGCAGGGTAAGTGGTAGTCTTCTGCACAGATTTAGCATTCCTGATAGGCTGGAAGGCTAGGGTGGTGCTAGGTAAGGGCTCAAAGTTCAGTGGGATAGCGGTGACTAGTAACATCCATCACATGTGGCATGCTTTAGGTCAAATCCTGTTAACATCATCTTTAGATGACAGGAGTAAAGCAAGGAGGGTTCAGGGCCTGGAGCCCCCTAGGGCTGCTTTCTCATATTGTTGTAGATGGCTCCTGATAGAAAGTTAAAAACCTGTGTAAGCATTCCCACTGAGCTCTTCCCCCTCCCCACCCCTACCTCATAAGAAAGTGCTGGCTGCACCCTTGGTAAGTGACCTGCCTCAGCAAGAATGAGTGTGAAAATTTAGCTGTTGAGTTATAGAAAACTTTGGTGTTTTGTTGTTTGGGGACTGCACTTAGCTGTGTTGTTGGATGCTTATATCACCCATGGGACATTAACTCAAGGTCTGCTTGGTTGCCTGGTTGAGGTGCTTAGTGAAGGGCCACTTGTATTCAATGGGTCAAATTGCAAGGTGATGCACATGCACATGGGAACTCCCATGAACTGTTCATCTATAATGTTACACATGGAAGGGGGAGGAGTTTTAATCATGCATAACCAAAGTGGAATAAGGGGAGAATGGTTTGGTCAGGTCATCAGTACACTTAAGTGTAGCTGCAAACCATGGTAAGGTATCTTTTGACCTGTTTTGAAATGCTTAAACCAAAGACTGTCTGCTTTTATTCATTACAAGCAACATGTTCATCTTTATTTTGGCACCTCTAGCAGGCCCCATGGATGCTACCTTTCTGAGATATTATGTTATGCTTATCACAGCCTATGGGGGAGGGTTTGCATCCAGCATTACAAGTTGATAACTGGGGGAAGGGTAGAAAATGTTGTGAATATGTGATGTGATTTGTTATTGCTCCTATCAGTTATTTATTATTATTGCTCCCAGACTGCACCTGGATTCTGAATGGTGGCAATGTATTATTGAAGAGTTGGCCACCAAGGAAGACCTGGGGAATATTGTAGACAACCAGCTTAGGTTTGTGAGTGGATAGTAGTACAGTACCCTCATTCTTATTCATCATTTTTCACATCAACAGATGAAGGGGATTGATGCAACACCCCTGCTATTTTGGGATTAAGAATGATGGAGCTGAAAAGGCAGCAGATTGACCCTAGGGATATCTAATGATTGCCTGGCCCCTGTTCCTGAACCCATTTGACCATTGCTGTAGCCTTTGTCACAAGCATATGACGACTGTCATGCGACGTCTGTGTCACGCTGGATGTAAGCATCACTGTTTCCACAGGTCTGGTATGGCAACAGCTGGTCACAACTGTGCCCTGTTTTCTACAGGTGCAGTGCTCGCTGCTCTGGTGGTGTTGGCCGTGTGCGGCAGCTGCGTCGGTCTGCGCCGTCACGACGTCCACGGCCTCCTACTGCCACCACCAAACGTCCACAATGCCCCGCTGCCACCAGACCAGTGGTTCACCCAGAAGCTGGACCACTCCCAGCCCAGTGACCTGCGCACCTGGCAACAGGTGACGTCACGGGCCGGTGTCGGCGGCGCGACTCGTCTGTGCCGAGTCGCTCGCAACACCCGCGCCACCACCCGCATCATGTCAACTGTATCGCCCTCCTCCAACTTTGCTGCCTGGTCTTGGGTACTGCATCGCCCTTGCCCTGGTCGTTGGTCGCTGGCGCTGCGCCACCCTCTTGCGACTTATCATTGTTTGGGGCCGTAACAGCCTGCTGATGCTGCCCGTCTCTGGCGCGGCTTGATCGCTTTCCTCCGACGAATCGACGCCGTGTTTCTCCGCAGCGCTACTTCACGAACGACTCGTTCTACAAGCCGGGCGGGCCGGTGTTCCTGATGATCGGCGGCGAGGGCAAGGCCAGCCCCGTCTGGATGGTGGCCGGTCAGTGGATCGAGTACGCCAGGCAGCACAACGCCCTCTGCTTCCTGCTCGAGCACCGCTTCTACGGGAAGAGCCACCCCACCGAGTGCGTGCGGCACCACGGCCAAGTGGGACGGCCTGGAGTGGGCTGAGGCTGGTGACGTCTTGGAGCCTCGAGGCGTGACTGTTCAGGCCAGCCGTTCGCAGGCTGTCGTAGTAGCCGAGGGCGCTGATTGGGGACTGGCTCACAGACAGTGGGTTCGAATCCCAGATAGTGTAGACGGTCTGCCCCTACAAGTATGCATGGTGATGTGGCAACCTGCCACAGAGCGGTATCATTGTAATGTGGGGTGATCGTGGCGTTGTCTGATATGACACTGATGCGATTCCTATGATGTCCATAGAATGGGCCGCGGATAAAGTAGTCCGTTAAACCAAAATCACATGACTTGGCTGATGGCCCCAGAGGCGCGTACAATTCATTGCTGTGCAGGAATTCTGAGAGGAAGACATCGCTGTAAACCCGTGCGAATAAACGCGCAAATGTGCATGCTGATACCGTGGTAGGCAAATAACAGAGCTAATGGTGGCATATCTCCGTCCTCACATCCTACCCTCTGACCCGTTGTAGGGACATGAACATCAAGAACCTGCGCTTTCTGAGCTCTGAGCAGGCGCTGGCCGATCTGGCCGCCTTCTCGGCCGCCATGAACGTGCAGCACGGCCTCGACGCCAGCACGCGCTGGGTGGCGTTCGGCGGCTCGTACCCGGGCAGCCTGGCCGCCTGGTACCGGCTCAAGTACCCGCACATGGTGCACGCGGCCGTCTCGAGCAGCGCGCCGCTGCACGCCCAGACCAACTTCTACGGTGAGTCGGCCGCGCGTGCCCCGTGACGGCTGTTGTATGTGGTCTCCAGCCGGGGCGTCGGCCAGGGTCGCGATCTGTCGTGTGTGGTCTTCAGCCGGGGCGTCGGCCAGGGTCGCGATCTGTCTTGTGGGGTCCCCAGCCGGGGCGTCGGCCAGGGTCGCGATCTGTCGTGTGTGGTCTCCAGCTGGGGCGGCGGCCAGGGTCGCGATCTGTCGTGTGGGGTCTCCAGCCGGGGCGTCGGCCAGGGTCGCGATCTGTCGTGTGGGGTCTCCAGCCGGGGCGTCGGGCAGGGTCGCGATCTGTCGTGTGGGGTCTCCAGCCGGGGCGTCGACGAGGGTCGCGATCTGTCGTGGGGGGTCTCCAGCCGGGGCGTTGGCCAAGGTCGTGATCTGTCGTGGGGTGTCTCCAGCCGGGGCGTTGGCCAAGGTCGCGATCTGTCGTGTGGGGTCTCCAGCCGGGGCGCCGGCCAGGGTTGCTATCTGTCGTGGGGGGTCTTTAGCCGGGGCGTCGACCAGGGTCGCGATCTGTCGTGTGGGGTCTCCGGCCGGGGCGCCGGTCAGGGTCGCGATCTGTCGGTCAGAAACCGCGCGGCATCGCCACACGCGGTGCGCGACTCCAGTGGGCTCTGTCTGTAACATAAAGTTTCCAGCTGGCCTCGCTGTAGACCATCAGAAGGTATTTCGTATTGGCAATTGGCGTATTTGAAAAGACCAGTGGTAATCAAACAATGCGATGCATAACGATACTTAGGTGCGATGTGATCGCCTTATGTCAAGTTTGGCGTTTGTATAATAGAGGCTAAGTACTACTAATGGTTCACCGTCACATTTTTTAGCCAGTTGTTAAAAGTCCACCCCCTGTGTGAAGCAGACGGGGGCTCCGTAGTACCTGCAAGCCTTTGACGGGTGTACACTGGCGCTTCTCCGCGGGCTCCGTGCGGCCCTCGTCGCCTTCCCCCCCCCCCCCCCCCCCCGTTGTTGGCGAGCCGCGGTCACCCTCAGAGTTCCTGTCGGTGGTCTCTGACGCGCTGCGCTCCGAGTCCGGCCAGGAGTGCTACAGCGGCCCTCCCCCCCCCCCCCTTCCCGTTGTTGGCGAGCCGCGGTCACCCTCAGAGTTCCTGTCAGTGGTCTCTGACGCGCTGCGCTCGGAGTCCGGCCAGGAGTGCTACAGCGGCGTGGCGGCCGCCTTCTCTGAGCTGGAGCAGCGCATCGGCGGCGGCGACGCCGGCCAGCTCACCAAACAGTTCCAGTGAGGGAGCCGGCCGCGCCCCGCCACGGCTGCGGATGTTGCCGGCCAACAGCCCCGGGCATTCGGGGACGGCCGTCGGGAGTAGCCGGCCGGGTCATCGCTACCGTATGGATATATATATATATATATAATATTATATATATATATATATATAGATAGATATAGATAGATAGAGAGATAGAGAGATAGATGATAGATAGATAGATAGATAGACAGACAGACAGACACAGACAGACAGACAGACAGACAGACAGACAGACAGACAGACAGACAGACAGACAGACAGACAGACAGATATATATATATATATATATATATATATATATATATATATATATATATATATGTGTGTGTGTGTGTGTGTATATCATATACATCACTAAGATTCAAAATTTGCTGTACCTTGTGGGAGAGAATGTATCTATGAAACATCGAGCATGAAGTGAGTGTTCATGTTCCTCATGCTTGCGACATGTTTGACGACTGGGAAACATCCATGATATACCTAACAAAGCTGAATTTTTAGTATGAAGGTTTGCCAGGGCTCAGAAAAGATTGTTAAGGCTTAGTTATGCCTCAACGTATACTCAACTGTGGCTGAAAGAAAGTGGCTGAAAAAAAATGTATTTTGGTAGCGTAGGCTGCTTGGGCAGTGTGGGCCTGGAGCTCTGGCTGTCGCTGCGCCGCAGACTGTGTGCGCCGCTGAACGTCTCGGCGCCGGAGGACGTATCCAGTCTGGTCTCCAGCCTGGCCGACCTCTTCGAGGGCACCGTCCAGTACAACAAGGACAACCGCGCCTTCGAGGGCGCCAAGGACGCCAACATCACCGTCACCACGCTCTGCGACGTGAGTTGGCCTGAACCAGGCCGCCAGCTGCTTGGGTGCGACGAGGGCGTGATGATCACGAGCACAGCAAGCTACTTGAGATGCCTCTTACGAGACGAGGCAAGAAGAGACCAGTGGGCGGACAAGGTCTGTTTTGGATGGCCTGTGGATGTGGTCTGTCTCAGACCATGACCCCTGGGCAGCTCTCTCAGATCATAACCAGTGGGCGGGGTCTGTCTCAGACCATGACCCATGGACAGGGTCCGTCTCAGATCGTGACCAATGGGTGGGGTCTGCCTCTCCAGACCATGCCCAGTGAGTGGGGCCTGTTTTAGACCATGGCCAGCAGGCAGGGTATGCCTCTCCAGATCATGACCAGTGGGCGGAATCTCCCTCTCCAGGTCATGACCAGCAGGCAGGGTCTGCCTGTCCAGGTCATAATCAGTGGGCGGGGTTTCCTCTCCAGATCATGACCTGCAGGTGGGGTCTGCCTCTCCAGACCATGGCCAGCGGGCAGGGTATGCCTCTCCAGATCATGACCAGGGGGTGGGGTCTGCCTCTCAGATCATGACCAGCGGGCGGGGCGGCGCGCTGGACCGGCTGGCCGAGGTCAACAGCCTGCTGATGACAGCCCATGGCGACAAGTGCCTGGACTACACCTACGAGTCGGCCATGAAGAAGATGCGAGAGGAGAGCTTCGACAGCCCCGACAACAACGGCAGTAAGTGCCTGGGGTGGCTCAGCCTATGGCACGAGTCAGGATCGGCTCATTCTGTGGCACGAGTCAGGGTCGGTATAGCCTGTAATACGAGTCCGGGCCGGCTCAACCTGTGACACGAGTCAGGGTCGGTATAGCCTGTAATACGAGTCAGGACCGGCTCATCCTGTGACACGAGCCAGGGCCGGCTCAGCCTGTGACACGAGCCAGGGCCGGCTCAGCCCGTGACACGAGTCAGGACCAGCTCATCCTGTGACACGAGTCAGGACCGGCTCATCCTGTGACACGGGTCAGGGCCGGCTCAGCCTGCTTAGCCACCAGCCAGTCCACACATGGCCCACCGTGTGTTCTGTCTTGCTTAGCGCCCCGTGTGCAGCCATCAGTGCTACTTGAAGTCTGGTGTCTGCTTCCTAATCGTGGGCAATGTTTTTCTCTACCCGTCACTGTTTTCCTTGCCCCTTGGTGTTGTGTCCTTTACCCCAGCGAAGCTGCGATGTCTGACCGCGTTATCGGGAAGTGGGTCACGTACAGCACGGCTTCTCTGTGTGAAGCACTCCTGGTCCCGGCGCGGACAGGCCGGCGCCGAGCGTTGTCCGGCGCGAGCCAAGCTGACCGTGTCGCCGGCAGTGCGCCAGTGGATCTACCAGACGTGTTCAGAGTTTGGCTGGTACCAGACGTCCGACTTCGTCCGGCAGCCGTTCGGCCACCGCTTTCCGCTCGCCTTCTCCGTGCAGCAGTGTGTGGACGCCTACGGCCCCAAGTGAGCGAATGTCCGCCCCCGCGGCGCTGCGGGCACTTGTCCCGTGTCACTTGTCCCGCCTCTTCTTCCAGTGTCCTGTGTCCCGTGTCCCTTGTCCCTTGACCCTTGTCTCTTGTCCCGCCCCTCGTCCTGTGCCCCGTGTCTCTTGACCCTTGTCCGTTGTCCCGCCCCCTCGTCCCATGTCCCTTGTCCCCTGTCCCTTGTCCCGTCCCTCGTCCTATGCCCCGTGTCTCTTGACCCTTGTCCCTTGTCCCGCCCCCTCGTCCTATGTCCCGTGTCCCTTGTTCCTTGTCCCTTGTTCCGCCCCCTCGCCAGCGTGTCGTATCCCTTGCCCCTTGTTTTTGGCTTCCATGTGGTGGCCGCTGACAGAGCGTCGCCGTTCCGCGGCAGCCCTGGCGCGGCGAGCCCGCCAGACCACTCGGCGGTCGCACAGAGTCATGTGCTCTGGAACCATGTAGCATGTGGCGTTTGGACCGTGGAGGCCGGGCTGACGGTGCACCGCCGCTCGGCCGGTCGTCGGGACAGCTGATGTCTCGCCTCGCTGGCACCGGTCTCCTGAGTGTGGGCTCGCCCCCGGTGCTGGCGTAGCCGAGCTCGGTACCGCCGGTGGCTCGGTCGTCTGGCCGGGGACGTGTCTCCCGCGCAGCACGAGCCGCTGGCCCACGCTGCTGCGGCCCCGTCCGTCGCTCGGCCCGCTCCGGCAGGGGTCCGGGCAGTGGGTGTCGTTGCAACCAGCCCGTTTGTGAATGGGATGCGTCACCCTGGTTTTGAGAGCACCGAGGCTCTACGATGTCGAAGGCAGGAGTACTGTCCACACGACCTCTCCTCAATTCGAGTTTGAGTTATATGTATTTTGTATATATATATATATATATATATATATATATATATATATATATATATATATATATATATATATATGTATATACAATATACAGTAATTATTAGTTTCTATCGCGTTCCGTGGTTTCCCCATCAGCAAAGTGGCGTCACGTTGACCCCACCTACTTCCGACGTGGGGACCGACGGGCTCCCCGTCAGTGCTCCCAGCGGTGCGCCACCTTCAGTGCTCCCCACCATCTCCCCGGCGAGCTCAGAGACGCCGGGACATGGCTGCCCCTCCCGCCGCCACACGCACATCGAGCCCTCCGCTGCTGCCAGGTTCAACAAGGCGTTCATCGAGGCGGCTGTGGCGGCGACGAACGTGCGCTACGGCGGCCGCGGGCTGCGCGTGCGGCGCGTGGTGTTCATCAACGGCAGCATCGATCCTTGGCACGCCATGGGGCGGACGGCCACCCGCCACCGGCACACGCCCGTCATCTACATCAACGGTCAGTGGCGCGCGCGCCGGGCGCCGTCTCAGCGCGCCGGCAAGCGCTGAGACGGGCGGTGGTGACTGCCGGCGGCTGATGTCTGCAGTCTGGGAGGCATTCGGGTGTCGCCGTACGCCTGTCCTGGTGATCAGTAATGTTTTGTTTGTGTGGATGGCGTTGACAGGTGGAAGGCTGTCATTGCTTCCTCTTGTGCATGTCACATCACAGCCGCACCGCGCCGGCGCCAGCCTCAGTGTAGCAGAGAGTGTGCCTGCCGGCGGGGCCGATAGACATCATGCAGGACTTCCTAGCGGTGTCGGCATCGTGTAGTCCGCCTGGCTGTCCCTGCCGATCAGTCACCCCTGCGCGGCCAGGCACTGGTCTGCCACACCGTACACCACGCCGCACATCGCACACCGCACACCGCACGTCCGCCTCGCCGACCGACGGACGTGGCTGTGCGGCTGTCCGCCTCAGCCGTCCACCAGCCGCACGTGGGCTACTGACGCTGCCTCCGTGGCCCGCAGGCACGGCCCACTGCGCCAACATGTACCCGGCGCGCGCCTCGGACCTGGCCGAGCTGACGGCGGCCCGGCGCAGAGTGGGCCGCCTCATCACCGCCTGGCTACGCGAGAGCCACCAGTGACGTCACTGGAGCCCAGCCGGACGACGACTGGGCGGCGAGTCACCTCGCGACCGCTGACTAGCGACGTCACTGGAGCCCAATCGGACGACGGCCGGACATCTGGTCACCTCTTGACCGTGGGCCGGTGACGTCACTGGAGCCCAGCCGGACGACGACTGGGCGGCAGGTCACCTCTTGACCGTGGGCCAGTGACGTTACTGGAGCCCAGCCGGACGACGACTGGGCGGCGGGTCACCTCTTGACCGTGGGCCAGTGACGTCACTGGAGCCCAGCCGGACGACGACCGGACATCTGGCCACCTCTTGATCGCTGACTAGTGACGTCACTGGAGCCCAACCGGACGACGACCGGACGGTTGGTCACCTTGGTGACCGTTGATCAGCGACGCTACCAGCGTGCGGCCGGTTTGGAAGTGTGGACAGTGGTATCGCAGCCACAAGGAGCTTATAAGTATCTGGCCAGTCCGTATTAAATGGTCGTTGCTTGGATATTGTACTCTCGGGTATACACCTTGCTGTCTTTTAAGGCAAGTTATAGACGTATCTGTGCGCCATTTATGCTAGGCCAAGCCTCAATATGGCTGTTGAAACCCAGGGAATGTCCGAGGTGCTCAATATTCAATAGCTTGCTGCCCGCTTTGCAGTATGACTGCTGCCATTACTCATACTATGGTTATGCTGTTTACTGCGACGTTTTAAGACAGCTGTAAATTTGCTTGGTTCCGTAACCTGAGATCATGATGGATGGTCATATGCCACGCCATTTCTGCACTCGCTGGGCACCTTTGAGCACGAGCGTGTGTTTCTCAATACTCGAAATGCCTGAAGCTGTCGCTCGAATCACCATCGCGGGGCACGAGCAATCGTATCAGCCAAGTGCATGTACCATTTGGCTTATCCACCACAGATTATGACAGGCAGATGCATGGATGTGTAATCGGCTTTATGCATCGAAGGTTCAAAATGTGGAATGCCTATCACGCTGTCATTGTCGTGTTCTTCCTCGCGGAGATGCCTTTGGCGTACGACGGGAACGTATGTCAGTAGCCTGTGCCTTCCAGTTGTTCCACACGCCAGGGGTCATCGAAGTACAGCCTTTCCTCGTGACCTGGCCGTGAGACAGATCCTGTATATGCATCGAGACGTGTACCTTCTTTGCCGGAAGTTGGCTGTGCTATAAAAGGAGTTGTAGTCAGATGTTCTACGCTATGGGAGCATCATGGAATCCCGCTCTTACAAGTGCCAAATATACAGTACTCGGTTTTGCACGTATGCCGCCTGTCTTTCATTCGTGAGCGCTAGGAGCATGATCGGGAAAGTGCAGATAGCTTGCACGAACATGAGCATCTGTTTCTTTGAGCTCCTGTGTTTAAATTCTCGCGGTCGGAAAATGCTGAGCCCATTAGATTCCACGCGTAGCAAATGCTAAGCCCGATGATTACAATGTTGCGCATAAATATATGTTGTGCTGTGTGATAGACGCTGAACTTTTTACGCTAGTTGTCGCAAGGCAAACGAAATCTTACACCCACTAGTATCCAAACATTTGGCGATTTGGTGGCATTCTGGTGCGCTAATGCTATTTAACTGAGGATTTCTGGGAGCATTCAACGATAGCGAGTGTCACCGAAATCTGCTAATATAATTGCTTTTAACAAAGTGGTATTTGTCACGGAATATGCTCTTACTGTCGAGTTGGCAGTGCGGCGGACACTTGCCACAGTAAGCGCGATATTTTGAGGGTTTTTTTGTTAAACACACGAGTCTTGGCTGGCCAGTTTCTAAATTGTTTGAAAAATTGGTTTTCGAGCCCCCTTACCCTACGTGCATCCATTGGAGCCGCCCTCAGAATCTCCATCATCATGTTGACTTGCCGATTTTCTCTGCCCGTACTGAATAAAGGCTGTCGCTCCCAATCTCGACTGTTGAATCAATAGGAAAAGGCTGTAAGCATTTGGCAGGTGGTGATCAGTAGGTGAACATGTCCACATCATGATGAACGCCCGGAGCTTAATTTTCTGCATGCTCCTGTACACAACCGCCATTTGAGCTGGTTCTAAATGACCGTGTATGTCCATTCAATGGAAGCCAAAGGTAAGCGGCACTGCGTCAACATTTCGTTGGCATGGGAAGGAATAATAAAGCAGTAAAGCAAAATTATCCGCGGCTACCATATTATGCGCTACCATTTTGATACCGATTGTGACGCATCACGTGCATTCGTGAGGCCGCTAGGTTTTTGGTGGACGCTGTCTTTTCATTGCCGCATTTTTTATGTGGACTGGTGGTGAGTTCCTGAGGCATGCTTTTCGTGCTTTATGGGTAAAGCGAGGAGTAGAATTACTGGAGGTATACAAACGCAACACGCGAAGAGGTTTGGTCTCGTGGCGCGTGAATTTATTGAAGAGTCACCCTAAGTACTGGCTCGTTGAAGGAGCGAAGAGGGTCACCATTGGAGGATAGCAGTGTGAGTTAGTCATTCGAGATCCAGTTTTTCGGGATTAAGGAATTTTTTTAGTTAATCTGTCACTTAGTCATCCGCTGCAGGGTGTGCTGACTGCTCGTCATTGTAGTCAAAGTGATCATATGGCTGGCAGGGAAAATGTATCATCCAAATTATAATCCTTCATGACATTTGTGATTGCTCTGTACCTGGCTGGGATGTCCTAAGGCCAGTAGCTCAAGGTCTTGAGATCTATGGGCTGGATGGACAATGCCTAGCATTGCAGTAGGCTAAACTTTGCTGCCAAATTCCAGCGTGAAACTGGACGCCATATTTGGCTAGTAGACTCAGTGTACACACAACAGACCCTGTTCAGCATGAGGTCTGATTCCAGAAATTCATTCCTTCACAGCTTTAGGACTATGTTATGCAAAATTCATTGTTAAGCTCACATAGTGTGATTTTGAGACTGCTGTGAGTCATGGTCATACCTGAAATATATAGTTGGTTCCATGTAATCTTCATTGGTGGTTCTTTCTAATATTATTTAGTTAAAATAGCTCCATAACCCAGTGGATCTACAGCTTCTTTTTTGCGGACTGTTACTAACATGTAATTATTTGCTCCTTGATCTGGTGGTACTGACAGCAGATATTTTGGGCAGCTAGTTTGTCTTTCTCAGAAAGCCTAAGTTCTCCTCCAATAGCTTTAAATTCAGATCCAACTGCAGAACATTTTTCATGCCTGGCTGGGGCTTGCATTTGTTGTTATTTCAGACAGCTGGCTTAGACTTTGGTTTGGGTCATATTAACAGCTGACTGCATTCTGAATTGTTATCTCTGCCTCAGTTTCTTGTGATCTTGAAATGCTGGCTTTAGCTTTGTCATGATGGTTTTTCACTGCAGTAGTGACTGTGCCTGACAAAATGGCCTTGCAAGCTGGGTCACTCCAACATACCTCACAAAGTTTCAAGGTCATGACACATGCATCACTGAGAGCTCAATAGCACCTGGTCATTTCTAGGGACAGTTGACACCTAATGATGGCTGGTGAACCAATTGGTGCAAATCATAGGTGTATAATAACACAACACAAGGCAGTTGTAAAGCAAAAAACATTCCACCTACCTTAACACCTTACATTGATTGCTCTGCAAACCCAGGTGGTACTCTCTTGTCCCATACAGCTGTAGCAGATGTCATAGTGGTGGTTTTGTTCATGCCAAAAATGGTTTTGTTGCTGTGAAACAACATTTTACTCTAGCACTGACTATGGCTTCTTCGGCCTCCTAGTTTTATGATAAGGTGATTGATAAGTTTAGCTTTAACTTCCCTTTTCCAAAGCTCAAAGCCCCTGACTTCGGCTTGGGCACCGCGTGTACGAGCTTCCAAGCCACTGGCTTTGGATTCAGCTTCAGGTTTCAAAATACAAAGCTGTTGGCTTCGTGTTTGACTTCGCAGTTCCAAACTTGAAAGCCACCAGACTTGGTGTACACTCCAGCTGTATGGTCCGCTGGAGGATTCTCTCTGTACATTTAAATGGGTTCAGCTTTGCTGCAATCTTAGGATGCTAATATCTTGACCTGACTTGGAGCCATATTGGACTGGTCTTTTTCAATGTGTCACGTCCCACGTAAATCGAATAGGGAAGAGTAGCCTCGCTGATATTGCAGTGTTGCGGGTATTTCGCGCCTAATCAAACTGACTGCATGCAAGTACCCTCAAAATACTCCAGCACAACTTTTTAGGATGGTGGCATATTTTCTGAAGACCTGCTGGCGGTATGATTAGTGACTAGGCTTATAAGCCCGTGAAAGGCACGCCAGCAGGTCGAGATGGGCTGCTCATTACACCATTTCCGGATGTTTGGCGTTACGAGATGGACTGCAGCCTCGTCCGTAACCACACCTCGAAGAGAACGCGTTTTATTGATGCTGCTGATCCAGTAGATGCTTTTTTAGTTCATGTCATTATTTATGGTTATCTCCAAAAACAGAACGTTTTGGACTTGAGAACTTCCGTTTTGAGCACGTCATGCAGCTTGACTGAATGCGTCATAATTATACGGGCTTTTGAAAAATATAAAGTTATCTCCAACGTTTTCAACATCATTGAGGCTATTTCAGTGGCAAAACCATTATCATGCTAAGAGGAAAGGCCTTGGGACTGTTCGGACACCATAATGTCATGTGGTGCATCGTAGAGGCGTCACATCTCGAAATGAGTTGGAGGGGGTCTGAGCTCTGAAAAAAAATGCAGCCTGTCCCAGAACGCGACAACAAGCAATTCTATTCCCGGATTGGCCCTCTTCTCAAAGTTGATGGGGGAGGGGCTGGAGCTCCTCAAATGAAAGCTGAACAGGCATGGGTGGAGAACATGTCAGTACACGACCGCTTCTACTGAGGTGTGAGCCTCATGTTTGCCGCGACACGATTTCTGCACTTTTTCACATATTTTCTACACTTTTCACAAAACTTCAACGGAAACAACTTTAAGCGATGTTACACATGCTAGACAAAGTAGCTACGGACAAAATTGTTACACGATGTCACTTCTGCTCACTCAAGCTTCATTGTGAAAATTACTGCATTATGCATCTTCGGCTGATAAAATACTGCACGAGGAAACTTCTTCACACAAAACTAAGTGGAAGCGTCGCTGCTTTAACACGTGGCCGCTATGGATGCAACATTACATCTATAGTCACGCGACATTACATCTACTGTCACGCAACATTACACTCACTGTCACGCAACATTACATCTACAGGCAATAAAGTTTGCCGTTAAAACTTCTACACGACAAATCAGCGTATGAATTCCGATGTCGTTCGGCTGTTACGGACATAAGTTGTGGTTGTCATCGTTCGCATCAAGACTGCCACCGACGTAAGTTTGACGTCAACGACATACTGCTTCTTTATCATAGGCTTATCTTTCAGCATGTGCAAGAACAGCACATGTGCGCATTGTACCCAACTTCGACATGGTAACAGTTCTGGCCCACTCCCCCACCTCCAAAGGCAACGCACGATGGGGTTAGAAAGGACACAACCGGGCACAACGCGTCGTTTATGATCTGGGGGGACGCTGCAGTGGTTAGCCCTTACTGTAGTAACTGACCATGTGCATCGTGCGATGGATTCTGGTGAAATTGCTCTGTTTGTGGTCTTGGATCGTTCAAAATGCTTTGGCGTGATGGATCACGGAAAATTACTTTGCAAGCTAAATATGTACGGCGAAGACAGCCATTGGCTAGATAACTAGTTTGAGAGACACACTCAACAGGTGAGAATAGCTCTTAGGGACGGAAGTGAAACCCTCTACGAGTCACTGCCGAACACAACTGGAGACATTTAAGTGGAAGCCTGAGCTGTTTAATGTTTTCCATATTCTCGAACGAGATGAACTTGTATACCGACAGCTCTACGGTGGTCCAGCTTGCCGACGATACCCGACTGCTCATTAGTGGCTGTAAAGAGCAGCTTGCAGATGTTGTCATTCGTTAGGAGACCTCTCACAGAATTTGTTTACTGGCTTAACCAGAAAATGAAGATTAAGGCGGCAAAAACTCGACTTCTGGTAATTGGAGCAAAAGTTATGCTTCGTGATTTTCCCAAAACTACGATCCAAATTGGAACGTTGACAGTAACTGAAACCAGAGCTGTCAAAAATCTGGGTCTCACGATTGACAGAGACCTCGCTTTCAACCACACATTGATCAACTGAGAGCTAAGTGTGCTGGTACACTCATTGCCCTCATCCACGCCAGCTACTTTGTTCTGCGCTATGTTCTGCGGCAAAACATGGAAGGACTTGTGATATCCTCAGTTCGTGACTGTATATCCATTTACGAAACATACGGCACCAATTTTTGCACCCGTGTCATTGCAGGCAAAAAGAAGTACGATCCAATTGCAGAGGAAGCAACACGTTTAGGCGTTTTGTCCGCTCAAAATCTACTAAAATATCACTGACTAGCTCTTACGAAATCCGTGCTCCACACAGGACAACCGACAAACTTGCGGGGATTATACCAGGCCGCCCAGAACAACTACAGCACTCGACAGACAGGACAACGTAAAGTGACGCGAGCCGGGACGAACGCCGGGAAGCGTAGGCTTAGCCACGGTGCTGCAAAATTGTTTAACCGTCTGTTATCCTGTATGCAAAACACCAGGCACGTGCCTCGCTACAATGCAGATGTGATGCACCGTATGCAGCGAGGTGACCAGCTGAGCTGAGCTAGGCTGCTGCGCTGGTTTGTGAATTTTTTGTTGTTTGAATTGTGAAACTTGTGAGCTTGTTCTTCCTTGCCTACCGTTTATTTTTGTTTTTAATCTTGACGTGGTTTATGAAAAGTCTGGAAGTATTCCAGGATGTAACCGCAATAAACTGAACTGAACTGAACTAACTTGCAGGATGCTCCCGGGCATCTGCAGTTACCCAATACTGGTCACACTCACCATAATACTGGTGACAATTATTGATACGCTTGAAAATGTTTTTTTTCCATCTTCCAGAAATCCCTGTTCATAATGTTTGCTGCAACTTATCCAACCTGGATGACGATGCTCTTCTCGTCTGGACCCCAGGACTATTTTTTCAGAGCGGTGGTTGAAGTCAGCGTATTGAGGATTGCTAGCACTTTTAATGAATACCTGATGGACGTGCCAGCTGAAACAGCAGAACAATCGAAATACCAGCACTCTGTCAAGCTCCCATATCTGTACAAAGAAGGGGCGAAGATCCTCAAAGCGTATTCAGAAAAGAAGGGGAGCCTGAAGACTCTGGTGTACGCCACACGTCAACAGCGAGTAAGTCGCATGATCCAGCACTAGGCCCTGCTGTTGAGCCCCTTCGGATCTTCCATTGCTCATCAATCGCCCGCAGCTTGTCTCCATCACAGGATGGTTTATAAAACGAGTCATATGCTTCTTTTGGCGCCGTTCATAGATTGTATTACGCATGGACGGTGAGGGGTTTTGATGGAGCGCAAACGAAGAGAAGGTGGTTTCGGACAGCGCAACGTTCTTCCCCTACGTGGTTGTAATTCGTGCTGAAATATTTGCAGTATTGTGACCGGGAAAGAGGGATCTCTTGGCCGGCTTTACCAGTGTGCTATCGGGGTGGATACCTGGGGTGGGAGATTGGGGGGGGGGGGGGAGGAGGGGGTAAAGGATCGTAACGTGATGTATGGGCGGCCCCTTTTTATAGTTGGTTTTAAATATTTCATTTGAAAGACATGCTATAGAAAATGGTGCATTTGCATTGGCGAGTGTCAGCGACATGCGTCCGCACGTCCGGCGGAGCCGTGCTGTGCCGAGCCGGCGTCGTTCGCTGACGCCGCCCTGGTAACATATGCCGCCGCTCAGCTGTACCGGCGCCTGCTGGCACTCGTGTCGCGCGCCGTCGAGCACGCGCCGGCCGTGGAGGCGGCGCTGGCGGCGGTCGGCCTGCTCGCCGCCGAGCCCGGCCTGGAGCCGAGCACGGCCGCCTGCTGGCCGCCGAGCTGCTGTTCGGCGCCGGCCGGCTGGGCTCGCGCGCGCGGCCCGTGCTCACCGTGCTGCGCTACGCCGACCGACTGCGCGCCGCGGCCGTCGCGCCGGCCGCCGCCGCCGTCGTCGCCCGCCCCGCCGCCGCGTGAGTACCGCCGCCGCGCCCGGCCGCTGACTCCGGCCTGGTTGCAGGTGTGACCGCCGCCGCCGCGTCAGCCGCCGCCGCCGCCGCCATGAGTCTGCCGGAGGAGCGGTTCATGCACTCGTCCATCGAGCGACGCACGACGCGCACCAACGTGCTGCTCAACCTGTTCGTTTACAGCGTGGCCATGTTCACGCTGCCGTTCGTGGCGTTCTACGGCGCCGTGCACGTGGCCGAGGATCGGCTGGGTTACGCCGAGCACGGCTACCTGTGGGGCACGGCGGCGGCAGTGCTCACCGTGCACGCGCTCATCGCCATGTTCGTGTGGGGCGCGTACAAGGAGGTGCGGGACGCCGAGATCGCCTCGGCGCCACGGCAGATCAGCCGCCAGGAGCTGGCCAGCCGGCAGAAGCAGCAGTGAGCGCCGGCGGTGCCGTGGGCAGTGCCGCGGCGTGAGAGGCCCGGGCGGCGCTGGGGGCGGCTGACCGTGACGGAAGCGGACAGTGGCGGCCTCACCGCGGGAGGGTCAGTGTCGACCTCACAGTAACGGAGGTGCGTCGGTGACCGACCGGCGGACACGGGCGTGGACAACGGAATCGAGTCGCCAGTGGGACGATGCCGACTGTGGTGACGTGGACCAGGCTCTGGCGCGTGGCCTTGCTCCGTTCTGCTTGTCCTCGTGGCTGCTCGTTCGTTGTGACGACAGAGTCGGTTGTCGTGAAACCACGTGATCACAGGCCTTGCCGGTCCGGAGGTCGGCCGTCATGAAGCAGAAAATTTACGCGGGGTTATCCGGGTCTGATCGAACGTGTCAGGGTGCACATTAATACAATATTCACTGCCTTGTTTTGGGCTACATTCCAGGTCCGCATGTTGTGATTTGTTTCTGATTTAGCATTTATGCCAGGTATTACAAGACCGTTTCAGTCCTCAGGCTGCTGAACACGAATTGTGTACTTGCACGAAGTCAGTTGTTGTCTTGTGTAGGTCTTTACGCGGACCGTCACTAGATTTTTTCGTCATGCGTTTGTAGGAATATGGAACTTTGTATGCGCCGGGAAGATCAGATACGAAACTGGGCAGGTTTGTTCATGAACGATGGACGACTTTTAGGCAGTAAAAGCAAAGACTTATGTGCGAATTGGAATGTTGGTATCTGAGAACGGCAAGGCAATATATTGGACAGATTGCAATGTGGGCGTTCTATGGGTCAGTGAGATCACCAAAGAAAGGAAGACACCGTCGTCCATGCCCTCCTCTGCGTTTGAATGGGCGGTGCCACGTTGCCTGTGTGCCATTGGAGAGTTCTGTGATTTCACTGTGGTATCGCCAGTGACGTGGCAAAACCACGAGCCGAGTACCTTACACCGTACCGCCACAGCTGGCTCGATACGGCGTCTCATTACTCGACCGTCGGCGCCCCCTCTATTGGACCTGGAAGGGCGGGTCCTTAGTTGGGGCACACCAGGCCAATAATGGAAGACACGAGGACTGATCGATACGCTGTGTTCTTAATAGCGCTCACATCAAGTGGAATCGGTACAGGGGTGCGTCCAACGCTGTTACAGTCATGGGTCGCTCGCCCCTGTTGTAGAGCTGGTGCTGGATAAACATGAAGTGATCACTCTTCGCTCAGCTTGGTCATTTAATGTCCAGTGCGTCTGTGTTACATCACGCAACAGATGGCGACTGTAACGAATTTGCCACTGCAGCAGCTCGTGCTGAATTCACCTAGCAACTTCCAGCTGAATTACGCGATGATTTCCCCTGCCGTGATCCTCGATCAGCAGCGACTGTTAACCAGTCGCCGGCAGGGGTTGTGCCTGTCGTTGGTGTCTGCCACGTGTCTGTCGTGCCTCGCGCGCTGGCGGTGGATGACCGTCCGTACCCCGACAGCGCCCCGGTACGCGCGGGTCAACACGCTCCTCGCTTCCCTGGATGACGTCACGCGCCAGCTGACGGCGGAGGGCTGGGAGCGGGTCGAGTACCCGGCCGACGTCCGCTACGAGGAGTTCATAGCTCTTGTCAAGGTGCGTCAGGGGCGGGCTGCTAGGTCTATTGTCATGGCAACGAGTGGCTGCTCTGCTCATGGCTGAATGAATCCTTTACTTTGACACAGAGGCTTCCGAGCAGAAGTCGGTAAATTCTGCAGGCGCGCAAACCAAAGACTTATATATCCGTATAAGGGCGCTCGACGCGTAATACCGCGTCGTCAGCGAAGCGCGTAAGCATTGCTGAGACCAAGCCGGGTAGGATGGTCAGGTAGAAATTGCTTCACGACTGAATCTGCAGATCGCCTAGACTGGCAGGGTAGCATGGGCTAGCGAGGACCACAAGCCCGTGTGGACATTGGCGCCGCGCCGCTGGGTGTGGCATGCCCTGGTCATGTGACGCTCCTTGCATGACCGTGTCGTCACGGGCGACCGCTGCGCCGGCAGGCGCTGGGACCGTCTCAGTTCTTGCTGGATCTGCACGTGCCCGCCCTGCTGGTGTTCGCCGCTTGGCACGGAGCTGCACGAGCACCAGCTATACCGCAGCGGCTGTCTCATTCTGCAGGACAATGGTGAGACACCGACGGCCGGCTGGCCGCGCGCGGAGGCCGCGCTGGACCACTCACCTGGACTCCACCAGCGGAGAACAGGGATGTCCGCCCTTCCTGCCAGGGTGAAAGGCAGGCGACGCTATATAGCCTCAGCAGCTGAGTGTGTCGTAAAGCCCCAATGACAACAGAACAGAGGTGATGCCAGCGCTATGGGGCTGCTAATTTAGTGTGTTGTCTTGCTATGTACCTCATATGCCAACAGGAGGATAAAAAATGCTAAACGTACTAAAATAAAAAGGAAATTTAAAATACCGAAAGACTGGTGCGTCGCGTGACATCAGAGGTGACCGTAAGATTTACGCCATTGCGTGACTAATGATCCAGTTTTTATTACAACGCGGGGAAGACTCGAGCCCTTTCGCATAGCGGCGTGTGCGACGGCACCCCGGTGCAGAGCTGCCTGCCACCTCGGCGTGTGCTCCGTGCCGCCCTCATGACCGTGCTGTCCGTGCTGGCCGCCCTCACTGTGCGCCGGCCAGGCCAGCTGCCTGCCGCTTCGGCATGTGCTCCGTGCCGCCGTCATGACCGTGCTGTCCGTGCGCCGGCCAGGCCAGCTGCCTGCCGCCTCGGCGTGTGCTCCGTGCCGCCGTCATGACCGTGCTGTCCGTGCGCCGGCCAGGCCAGCTGCCTGCCGCCTCGGTATGTGTTCTGTGTCGCCGTCATGACCGTGCTGTCCGTGCGCCCGCCAGGCTAGCTGCCTGCCGCCGCTGGCGCTGGCGCCCTCCCCCGGCGAGCAGGTCCTGGACGCGTGCGCCGCGCCCGGCATGAAGACGTCTCAGCTGGCGGCCATGATGCAGAACACAGGGTGAGTCGGGCGACGTTCAAAACAGGGTTGTGCGGTGGGGTAAGGAGGTCAGAACTTACGAATAAGTGTCTTGGTCACACCAAAAACACCTGTCGTTTTGCAAGGTGAAGCGTTGCAACCTCCCGGTCGAGTATTTCGGAAATCAGCAACAAGCAAGAGCGAATAATTGCAGATCCGGTAGAGAAATTGCAACATGAAGTACTGTTACAATAACGCGTCATGTAATCAGATTGAACGCGATCAGTGTAGCATTGGCCGTATATTTCATCTGTATAAATGCCAGATTGATAATTAATTCGAACGGATGGGCAGTTACATGGGCGTAGCGAAGGACGCTTTTGGGGGCATACCTCCTCCCCCCCCCCCCCCCCCCCCCGCCCCTCCGTGCCTGGGCGGGGAGCCGAGGGCCAAAAACCTCAGTACATGTGCAGCTGTTTAAGGCGCCCTTTAGATTTTCAAAAACACCAAAAACGGGCCATCGAGGCATCAAATGGTATCCCAAGCCTGAGAGTCCCCGAAGCATAAAGGAAGGCCTCTATAGCGACGAAAATGGGCCCTTGGCTGAAAGGCCCATAGCCCCGATTTGATCCCTCTTGGGAGAACCTCTCCAGTACGCCAGTTGTAATGCTACTTAGATTGTTTACATGACTGTAACTGTCAATGCGTTCGGAGGATCGGCCTGAAAGTTGACAGTCCGAAATCTGCGCACAGACCAAGAATGCCAGAGATCCATGCGAACTGATGTTTGTATCGCCGACCCCCGCCCCGCCATCTGATCTTGCCCGCCATTTGACCTTGCCCGCCATCTGACCCGTCTGCCGTCTACCCCCCCACCAGTCATCTGACCTTTTCCGCCATCTAACCCTGCCCACCATCTGACCCCGCTCTCCATCTGGCCCCGTCTGTCTACCCCACCAGTCATCTGACCTTGGCCATCTGACCGTGCGCACCATTTGACCCGCTCTCCATGTGACCCCGTCTGCGGTCCGACCGCGTCTGGTCGGCAGGACGCTGGTGGCTGTGGAGCGGGACCAGGCCCGGTTCCAGACGCTGTCCCGGATGCTGCGCCGAGCCGGCGTCACCAACTGCCGGCTCATCTGCGGCGACTTCCTCCGCCTGCAGCCGGCCGACCACCCGCAGCTGACAGCCATACTGCTGGACCCATCCTGCTCCGGCACAGGTGACCCCTCGCTGCTGAGCACCTCCTGTTCCAGTTTAGGTGATCCCTCGGTGCTGGACCCCTCCTGCTCCAGCACAGGTGATCCCTCGCTCCTGGACCCCTCCTGCTTCGGCACAGATGATCTCTTGCTGCTGGACGCCTCCTGCTCCGGCGATTCCTCGCTGCTGAACCCTCCTGCTCCAGCACAGGTCTGGGTAGGATATTGGTTGCCTGCTCGGAATCAGACACTGTTAAAGGAAGTGGTCCACAGTTGTATGGGGCTTTGAACCGAAATAGCCATCTGGAAGATCATTCGGCGGAGTTCACAGCCCTGCTCTTTTTCAGATCTTAGTCCATCTAGTTTCTGAGTTACACGCCCGCGAAGTTGTGCAGACGTTTACGTGCAGACTATGGCAAGGTTACTCGGCATCCATGACGCCATAATTACGTCATTCAAATCCTGCCAATTCATTGGCCGCGTGGCGATCAAGGTCAAGACAAATATATTCGTCAATTTGTTCATACCCGGCGTTTGTGAGCACGTTCCCAGATAAAACAGACTCCATTGGCTCCTAATCTGTGTTGTGAAATGTATAATGACGCAATCAAACAGTGATGTATGAAGAGGCATACTTACTATATAGAGAAATTGTGTTGTCTATTGTAATATTTTTCACTGGAAGCATACCAGTAGTTTAAAGTGAGCTTATCTCATACCATCTGATGCTTGCTTCAGTATTTTCAGATGTGGAACATTCCCTTTAAGATATTGACCCGGCAGGGCCACCGGACACCTCATGTTCACAAGCCCACTGGGCCGCGAGTCTCTGTTTTCCCGTCTCCAGGCAGCGCGCGCCAGGAGTCCCTGAGTCCCTGACTTCCCCGTCTCCAGACAGTGCGGACTGGGAGTATCTGGCATCTCCATCTCCAGACATGGCAGACCAAAGTCCTTGACCTTTCCCTGCCTCCAATCAACGCGGAACGGGAGTCTCTGACGTCTGGCCGTCCCCAGGTATGGCAGGCCAGTCTCTGACGTTTTGCCGTCCGCAGGCATGGCAGGTCAGGGTCTCTGACGTCTGGCCGTCCCCAGGTATGGCAGGCCAGAGACTCTGACGTCTTGCCGTCCCCAGGTATGGCAGGCCAGAGTCTCTGACGTCTTGCCGTCCCCAGGTATGGCAGGTCAGAGTGTCTGACGTCTTGCCGTCCCCAGGTATGGCAGGCCAGAGTCTCTGGCGTCTTGCCGTCCCCAGGTATGGCAGGCCAGAGTCTCTGATGTTTTGCCGTCCCCAGGTATGGCAGGCCAGAGTCTGACGTCTTGCCGTCCCCAGGTATGGCAGGCCGTGAGTCGGCGGACTCGGTGTCGGCGGACCGTCTCCAACGGCTGGCAAATCTTCAGGGCATGCTGCTGCGCCACGCCCTCAGCTTTCCGGCCGTCCGACGAGTAGTTTACTCCACCTGCAGCGTCACCGAGCGCGAGAACGAACAGGTGCGTCGAGCCGGACACGGCCGTCGCCGGGGAGCGTTTCTCGTGCTTGACGGTTTTGGTGGTAGCTTTGTTACGGTGGTTTACGAGTTCCTTTAGTTTACGCCGCGATGCAGCCGGCACCGAGTGGGTTGTAACGTATCACGTCCATCATGTAACGTATGTTGTAACATCATATCATGTAACGTATGTTGTGGAAACTTTGTGGTGGCCATCCTGGAATGACTGATGAGATGGAATGGCTGGAAATTCCCCGCCGTTACTGCGCTCGTACCCTGGTAGCAAGAGACGCTCAAGCCGTGACTCGCTTACGACACCGCCGGTCATGTCGATGTCTGCTGGTCTTTGTCCTGACCTCGTCCACTCATCAGACTTAATTGCTAACCGGGGCATAATCGTGACCTCTACTACATTGGGTCGTGACCTTGTCTAGCCCAAATCGTTGCCTCCGCATTGGTCACGGTGACGCCCGACCCCAGCTGTGGCTCATGTTCTTTACATCGTAACCTTTTGCGAACCTGGTCACGACCTCTTCACCGTAGCCCGTGACCTCGTCTGACCCGCCACGACCCCGCCTGTGCAGGTGGTGGCGGCCACGCTGGCGGCTCAGCCCTGCTGGCGGCTGGCGGCCACGGCGCCGGCCTCCTGGCCCGGCCGCGGCCGGCCCTCGCTCTCCGACGGCCAGCACTGTCTGCGTGCCAGCGCCGAGCACGACCTCTGCAACGGCTTCTTCGTGGCGACGTTCGTCAGGGCTGCCGAAAACGAGGCTCGGCCGGGCAAGCACAAGGTCAAGACCAGGAAGCGGCAACCATGCGACGCGGAGACGGCTCGGGCGACAGCGGAGACCACAACCGGAAAACGTGCTGGCGGGAAGACCGCCAAGACTGTGGGATCGGCTGACGGTGAGGGCGCGCCCCCCGCCGAAGAAGCGAAAGCGGTCCAAGTCTACGAGGGAGTCACCGGTGACCGGGGAGGACGGCCGCCGGGGTTCGAACGGGACCGCCGACGAGGCAGGTGGACCGAAAAACAAGGCAAGCTCGATCACGGGCAAGAAGAAGCGGGCGCCCAAGTCCAACGGCGTTCGCGGCGAAGCGGCGGCCGCGGTGCCCAGGCGCCCGTCAGAGCCAGCCCAGTGCAGGTCGCCAGAGAGGTCAGTCCATTCAGACCCTCAAATGAAGACCCATGCGGTGAGTATGAAGAACGTATCGGGGAAAAGACTGTCCAAACGCAGAAGAAGTCTGGCGAGAAAGAAGGCCCCAGGGCCCTGAAGTGACCAGCTATCGCGTCCGGCATGCCAGGAGGGATGCACGGTGATGCGACTGCTATAACTTGTTCGACTTTTCTGCTGGTAATACAGCTTTGATTTCCATGTTTATCTGGCACCATGAACGACACAGACATATTTCCTGAATGAACACGTGTACAATACTGCATCATGCGCATCCACCACCAATGATTGATTTAAAGGCAACTTTTGATGGCCTTTTTATTTTACGTCCGACAATCAAGCGTGTCTTTCAAACACATCTACACCCCAACAATAAATACAGTCATAGGAAGGTAGACAGAGGAAGAACAGTTAGGTAAATAGCGCTTCGGCGCGAGTACAAACTGCAGAGGTGCTTAGACGCCCCATAGGCTAGACATCTGCACTACTGCCAAGACTGGTGCCACTTGCACTTGCCCCGAAAACCACGTGGAACAGAGCTTACGATGCGCCCGCTGAGCCAACAGCGTGCAGGTCGTCAATCGGCAGTGAGGGGTTTTGGACGACTGTTGGAGAAGCCCATCTCCACTTGAGTCGCATGATGGGTTCCGGATTACTTCAGATCCGTCGCAATACTGAGAGGACCGCGTCATCACTAGACGGATGAAACTGACGTAACGGCTCGGTACAACTAACACACCCATCCCGCATATATTTACCATTGCAATGTCCCGCCGACATGATTGGAATTCGTACACGCACACGCACACGCACACACAGTCCGGCAAGAGTTCATCACACTGCTGGTCCCCCCGGGAGCTCGCCACGCATCGGCGGAGAGCCCGGCTCTCTAACATCCCCTCTGCGCGCCGCTCCCAGGCGCCCATCAGATCGGCACTGCCAAGTCAGAGCGCGACGACAGCGCACTGGCGACAGGGCACTCGTCACCAGGCGAGGAGAGAGCACTGGCACCAGGTCGTCACCAGACAAATGCCGAGAGCGCGTTGGACACTAGCCCAACAGAAGCGCGCCCACACCCTGTCACCCGTAGCGAGGCCCAAGTACTAGCTCGTCACCAGATGAGTGCCCCTACTCCAGCTCGTCACCAGTAGAAGGCCGAGCTGAGGTAAGAGCTGGCCGACGACAGCCAGCCGGTGGCCGACTTGAAGAAGTCTCCGGTGGCGACGGCGCCCTCGCCAGGCGTCACGTCGGGGTCGTCCTCGGGCAGGTACTCAGGCGGCGGCTCTGGCCGCGCCTGCTCACTGGCACGCGCGCGCTCCGACACGGCCACCAGCTGCTCCTCCTCACCATCGGCCGTGATCCGACGCACCACGTGGTACGCGGCCATGTTTTCCGTGTTGTCCACGGCGCCGCCCAGCGCCGCCACCGACACGTGCTCGCGCACGCGACACGTGCAGCGGCCGCGGCCCATGTCGTACACGATCGACACGAGGCCGCGCACGCGCACCAGCGCCGCTTCCAGGGCGTCGCGGTCCTCGGGCGTCACCAGGCCGGTCACGTGCAGGGTCACGACCTTGCTGCGGCGCGAGGGCGGCCGCGGCCGGTGTCGGGCGGCCTGCCTGTCCTGCTGGCCCGGCTCCGGCCGCCGCAGGTGCGCCAGTGCCGCCTCGGTCTGCGAGAGCACGGCCGCCGGGCAATCCCTCATGCGCAGACACTCGAGCGCCTGCACTAACCGTACGTCTGCTGCAGCTGGCGCCGCGACGACTCGGCCTCGCACAGCAGCAGCAGCGTCTCCAGCGCCACCCCAACGATCTGGTCGTCGCGGTCCTCCAGCACGTAGGCCAGGAACTGCACGACTGTGCTGTCCTTGGCCAGAAGTGATGCCTTGTCCTTGTCTGCAGCGAGCTCTTTGTACTGCTGCAGGGTTTGCAGGGTCATGTTTCCAGCTTCTGACATTGTGCAGACCCTGCAAGTTAAGTGCTGCCCTTTAGACATGTGTGCAGAGGTTACCACACCTTAAATGTGACTGGGGTATATTTCTGTTTTGATGCCATTTTATGCAGTCAAAACACAAAAATGTTCAATCTGCCAGCATGTTAGGGATTGACTCCAGTGGTGGTTATATATATATATATATATATATATATATATATATATATATATATGTATACACATTCTGGACCAGGACATTTCCTTAGCCATAAAGCAGGTTGATTGGGCAGGAGTATCAAAGGATTGGAGCAGAAAACAATCCTGTTGGCAAAAAAGTAGGAATAAGTGGGCTATCACATAGCACAAAGACAGTGGAATATCCTAGATAGCTGCACCACCAGTACACAATTTTTGCAAACAAGATCAGCATATAATGCATGGTGCCTCACAGGTAATTAATTAAAGTGCATGAAAAACTGCCATAAAATCAACTGGGTTTGTCTTTGATAGATGCATTGGTAACTCAGTTTTCCACTGAAAGCTGTCAGCTTTGGTTGCCTTCCAAGGCATGGGAGAGTGTACTGTCATTAACTCCCATATGGTGGAGGGCACACTCAACACATATGGCATACATGCTACAATTTGAGTGTAGATCACTCCCTAAGCCATGCAACTGCTGGTATTGGCTTTTGTACTGCACAACAGCAATAACACACAGAGATGGACAGAAAGAAGGATGAAATAAAAAGTATTGATGTAGATGTACTCAGGCTCATAACTTTGCTGTGCATTGTATGTTATGTTCTTAACCTGGTTTTCAATTCAGCCATCATACTATTCGTGCAATGGCATCAAGTTGGTTGCTTACTTTGTGGTGAGAAAATCACCTGGAATGAACATGAGCATTGTCAAATAGTCCTACAATGATGCTTGCTGATCTGCCAGATGACCATATAGTGAATGCTACATGAAATGAATTTGAGATACATTTTATCTGAGACAACAAAGTACTTATGGCAGGCTAGATAACCACAGCAACACTGGATCACAATTAATTTTATCAGCATGAAGGTAGTAACCATTGGAGTCAGCTGCCTGATCAAGGGATTGTTTAGGGACTTAGTATTACCAGATTTCAAGAGCAGGGGCCCAGATGACCTAACCTGACCTGACCTGACCTGACCTGACCTGACCTGACTGGCCTGGCCTGGCCTAGCCTAGCCTAGCCTAGCCTAACCTAACCTCCCCACCCTATCCCCTTTCAACCATCTCCTGTTGACATCCAAGA